TTCAGCCAACCCCCCTTCATGTTCATTTCTTATTCTCTGATCTGTTCTCTTTCTCTCTCTCTCTTCTGTATCTCCTTATCTAGGACTCTCTTCTCTATCTCCTTCTCTTCTCTATCACTCTCATTCTCTCAGTTTCTCACTCGGCCACCACCACCACCTACGGTCATCGTCACCATCAAAGCCGTTCTGCATCGCCGCCGTGGTTTCCTCACCCATTCGCAGGTATAAACGTTTGATCTTTGTTTATCTAAACTGTTTGTTTATTTTTGTTTGTTTGTTATATATATTGTTTGGTTGTTGTTGTTGTTGGTTAATGTTGTTGTTGGTTGTTATTGTTTAATGTTGATGGTTGTTGTTGTTGTTGGTTAATGTTGGTTAATGTTGTTGTTGGTTGTTGTTGTTTAATGTTGATGGTTGTTGTTGTTGTTGGTTAATCTTCGATTTGGCCTTTGCAATCACCTTTGGCTGTTGTTGTTGTTGGTTGTTGTTGGTTAATGTTGTTGTTGGTTGTTGGTTGTTGGTGGTTGTTGTTGTTGGTTGTTGGTTGTTGGTGGTTGTTGTTGTTGGCTGTTGTTGTTGGTTAATGTTGATGTTGGTTGATGTTGTTGTTGTTGTTGCAAATCTGAATATTCATTAAGCATGTAGTTGTTGTTTGATGTTGGTTGATGATGGTTTATGTTTGTTATGTTGGTTGATGTTGTTGTTTAATGTTGGTTGATGATGGTTGATGGGTTTTATGATGTTGGTTGATGTTGTTGTTTGATGATTTATAGCATGTTAAGCTATTAATTATAACTAATATTTAATGTTTACTACGTTGCAGATTAGTAACAATAATAATGGAGGCTGACACAAGGATTATCATGATGGGATATGAAAAGAGTTCCTAGATTTTCAAGGATTACCATGATGAAATAGATGCAAAGGGAAGGCTTTTGAGGAAGCAACTCAGGTTCAGATGGGAATAAGCGCAATAGACCGTAGGATGAAATTGATGCAAGGGGGAGGCTAGTGGCACAAAAGATTCACCAAGTCAGCGGACAATGTTTCCCCCTTCATACAAACCATCATAAACATAAATCTCGGTCTTCCATTCATCTGGTATCCAAATTTTCATCCTTTGCTTTTATGATGCTTTCCATTACTTGTTGATCTACTTTTTTTATTTCTACTTGTTTAAGTATGTATAAACTCATCATATGCTTCATGTGCATTCCTTAATGTAGCTCTGACCCTCGCGTTGGTTCGTGGACAATGTTGGAACCGATGAAATATGCAAGAGGGTATATGGGCAACGTAGCCCCCATCTGCTGACACCCAAATTGGAGCTTGGTGAATCTGAACCTGTAGATCCCAAAGTTGATCCTGTATGTAATTGTGTACCGGAACCTGAAGTTGAACATGTCCCTACAGATTCTTGTGAGGATGTTGATGAACCAAGTGGGCGTAGCAAACCCGATCACCATCCTCGTCTAAGCCATCAGCCTCCTCTAAGGTGCCAATCGTCTCACAATCGCCCAATGGCTTCTCATCATCTTACTGAGGATGTTGCTGAGGAGGATTCACTCAACGGCGGGGTCCTTTCGAAGATCAAAGAGATTGCACACCTTGGGGTAAAAGTTAAGAATTCTTATTTAGGAACCAGCTTGCTTAAACCATTTATAGAAACAAGGAAACAAAGATGCTGGAAATAATGAGTTATATTATTGAAACTCGAGGGAGATTTTATCAGCACAATGTATTGTGAAATGAAAAGAGTTCCTAGATTTTCAAGTTTCCATCTAGTATGATCTCAAATAGAAAAGAGTATTTGCGTCGCACTTCTTTAATAGTGCGTTGCAAATAACAATCATTTGCGTCGCAGATCACAAATATGCGTTGCAAATGAGGTAATCATTTGCAACGCACTATTATAGAAGTGCGACGCATATAGCACTTCAACGGCTTTTTTTATTTAATTTTATTTAAAAATGGAAAATCATTTGCAACGCATCTTGCAAAAGTGCGACGCAAATAAACCATAATTTGCGTCGCAGATTACAAATATGCGTTGCAAATAAGGTAATCATTTGCGGCGCACTATTACGAAAGTGCGACGCAAATTATTGTTTATTTGCGTCGCACTTTAGTGCGACGCAAATAACTGACAGTCATTTGCGTCGCTAACATTTGCGTCGCCCCAATGTGCGACGCAAATGTACCCTAAAAGTGCGACGCAAATGACCCTTTTTCTACTAGTGCTTGTTGTTATCCCCAAAGGTGACACTTCCTCCATCAAAGGCCACTAGTGAAAGGAATTGATCTTTATCCCCGGACATGTGTCTTGAGCAACCACTGTCCAAATACCAATAGGTGTCTCTCTTCACTCTAGCCTGCAAGAACAAATCAAACATTAGATTTAGGAACCCAAACATACTTGGGTCCCTTTTCAACAACATTAACATCTTGTTGATCCTTTCTTCTCCAAACATATTTCACACTCTTGCTGTTCTTGTTAGCACTAATTCTTTTAGCTGGACATTCATGTATCTTATGTCCATTCTTACCACAGTGATAATACACATACATCTCTTTAGTCATGACATACTTACCTCGCTGATATTCTTTGATCCAGGTGGTTTCTCTGGGAGACCAGTTAGTCCTGGTTCTCTGTCTAGTATAACCAAGACCAACTTTTCCTCTGTTTCCTCCGGATGAAGTCAAATGATTCAAAGTTCTTTGTGCATTCAGTAGTTTATCCACATGGCATATATATGCTCGTTTATTGTTTTTATACAACTAATATAATAAACTTATAATATTGTCGTAATTTTTTATTTTATTTTTCAAGAAATCCAAATGGCGGAAGCAAAGACATGTGGATGGGTGTATAAATCATGGTGGACTGATGACTGCTCCTACAAGTGCAAGTACAAGTGGGATGCTTACTATGGAAAGAAAGTGTGGTACCATGAAAAATATGCTTGCTTCTGTTACTATGGACCTTGCGATCATCATTAACATCTTCCTGCCTTATAATGGAAGAATGATCACTACTTAATTACCCTCTAATTACGTATTATTGTGGAATATGTTGGAATATTATGAGAATAAAAATTAAATTGTGGCTGCTACTTAGTAGAATAAGCCTATAAGGTATTGTTTGTATAATTAATATATCGTGTATGAATAAAGAGGGTTTAAATACGAAGTATAAATTGTCTATGATTTTGAGATAGAACCCTTTTGGACTTTTGAAGAGGACTTTCTATCTCTCCTAGATGCAGATACGATCCAGACTCGTATTTAACATCATCGTGATTTTCATTTTTCTTAGTCTTCTATGTTCAGTGGAGTAAGTGATATATTGATATTTAAAACCTGAGATCAGATGTATTTGTGTTATCTTAGTCTTTTGAAACACCCATTGACTTTTTTTTTACGCCTATGTGATTGTAGATTTGTAGTAGAGTGGAGCTAGAGTTCTACAACTTATCTCGTTAATTATTTCTTTGGATCAAGATCCTCTTATTGGCCTTACAATTGAAGAGTTAGTCTTAAATGTACGCTTGACAACTTAAGACACTTTTTAGCCCAATCCATATCAGATTCTCAACCTATAACAGAATTCTTTTTAATAAAAAAGAAAAAATGAAAAATCCATTTTACTTTTACATGTTTTAACCTAACAATCACAAAGTCCACTATTGGAAGAGTGTATGAATTGAAATTGACTTAATATTATGGGATTTAAAAAATAAAAAATAAAAAATAGTTTGAAGAGCGAAATTATAATCAATTGACATATACAAGCATCCTTCCGTCAGAAATAGGGAGATTATTAGCTTCGTGTACCTTTTCGACAAAAAGAAAAATTACATGTACTTTTACGCCCCGTTTGGTTAAGTGTAAAACGTTTTCAGTGTAAAATAAATTTTTATATACAACATTGTACAATAAATTGTAAAATCACATTAGGAAAAGAAAGGTGGAAGCGAAAGAGAGGTAATAGTTATGAGGAAATGTAAAAAGTTGGTAAGGAAAAGTAAAGGAAGGAAGGAAAAGTGTTTTCCTTCCATTTCAAAAGGAAAATGAATTTTAATTATACGAAGTTTTTATGCTCTAGGTAGAATATTATTTTACATCCAAGTAGTGAAAAACAAGAGAAAATGATGTAAAACATTTTACACCAAACCAAACGGGCCTTAAAAGACAACATCATAAAATTATAAACACCTCCAAAATGTCCAAAGTGGCAAAGTATCAACTATCAATGTTGTAAAGTGCTGCTCCCACGAATGAAAAAGGCAGCAGAGAAGTTAATAATAATGCAAAAGCCATAATACAAGGATGTGTTGTCAACATGATTACATACCACCATTATATAGTAGTGTTACATTGAATAGACTAAAGTTTGTACAACCTCCTTGTTATATTATATGGTGTTTATGTATAATTAATTAATTATCAATGCTTCAAAAAGGCCTTCAAATATGGAAAAATGATACCGAAAAGTATGATTAATGTTACACTCAGTAGTCATTTAGTTAATTAATGTCTTGGAGGTGGTAAACAACACCTAAGATCGGATCTCACCTACATCATTTTACTCTTTTGATCTAATGTAAAGGCGAAAAGGAAAAGTATGATCCTTATTACGCTCATTAGTAGTTTAGTTGGTTAAAGTCTTGAAGGCGGTATTCAAGACCTGAGATCGGATCTCATCTACATCATTTACTCGTTTCATTTAAAGTAAAGGCGGAAAAGAAAAGTACAATCCATGTTACACTCATTAGTAGTTTAGTTGGTTTATGTCTTGGAGGTGGTACTCAAGACCTGATATTAGATCTTATCTACATCATTATCGTTGCCCTTGATCTGAGTAACAAAGAAGTGATGTATGTGTAACAAAAGTACAGACAACTTAGAATGCAAGAAAGAATCAATCTTCATTTACTTTACAACAACGAAAAGCCTTATTAAATCACAAGTCAAATAAACTGAAAGATTACATAAGAATATTCAGCTAAATCAAGTATGCTACTTGTACTTGTTACTTGAATTATAATCAAATCCTTTAGTCTCCTCAATCAAATTACTCAACCAAAATTATTTATAACAACCCAAATTAACAAAAACCAAAAAATTGCTTACTTGCTTAACTATACTACAGATTTATACCTGCAAAGAACCTTACATCTAAGGATCTTATCTTGTACATAAAACCCTGGCATCACCATTATCTTAACCCGACTTGGACCGTGTCCCTTCTGTTTATCAGTCACGATATCCTCCATATAATGAGCATCGAACGATCTATTCTCTTCCACTCGTAATATACTCAAAGGTGGAGTGAAAGAAAACGCGAGCAAATGAAGTAACCATATACATTTTGCTGATACAAAGAATGACTGCAGTAATGTTTCAGACCAAGGCCTAGTCCAATTCAGAGTCATAATTATGCAACTCATTTTCTGATCACAGAATTTACTGAATTCTTCACTGTAATACTTTGTTCCCTTCTTTAAAACTTCATTCCAACTTAGATTTCTTAATGAAGCAAAAGACTGAAACTGTGCTTGCCTCTGCTGCTGAGGGTCTAGCAGTTTCGGCATACCATTTTTCTGAAACACACAGTTCTCGAAATCTTGGTAGAATGCTTGATTTATAATCGCCTCTAAATGGTAGAAAACTGCCTTAGAGTACCTTGAATTAACAGACAGTTTATAGGGCTTTAAAATCATGTTCAAATTCTCGGTAAGTTGTTCATCAGTTTCATCTATTTGTTCTGTCAGAGTCTTGCAGAACTGTTTTACTGATAATCTTGCTTCTGAAACAATCTGTAAAAACCCTTCTACCATCACCTCCTCGCTTACAGGCATCTCGGAATCCTCATTACTCCTCCCATCACTCGGTTTCTCCCTTTTCGTGACTGCCTGTCTGAGAGCCTTCTTCAGGTCCTCACAGTAAGACTCTAAGTTCTCGAGCTTCCTCCTCAACTCCCCAAATGAAGACCTCATCTCCGAGACTTCTACTAAGGCTGCATCCTTCTTCTGATTAGCATCAATCAGCTCTTTCCTTAACATTTCAACCGAGGCAGAATTCCCAAAATCCTTCATCACTTGGGACACCTCTTCGGACTGATCATCAGTCCTTGCAGGGGAGCTTGTTTCGTTCTTTTGCCTTCTCTTGAACAACCACGACATGATCATTCCTCGGGATTTCTTATGTGGTGCTGCAGCAGCAGAAGTAGCAGTAGTCATAGTAGCATGAGAATCTGTTAATGGCACCACCATGTTAGAGTACTTGTTGTTGTTGGTACTCTTGCTATCATTATAATCAATGCTGCTAATTGTTGCAGGCTTACAATTGTTACAGGATGATACTGATTTTATGTCTCCTAAACTGTTTCTTCTCCTCGATTTCAGGACTTCAGTACCTGGTGAATTCTGTAGGAATGTGAGTGTGTTCGTGCACGAACTAGCCACCGATTTACAATCTTCTGCAGGACGTATATGGCTGTTGTTGTTGCTGTCAAAGTTTACTAATCCACTTTGATTATCTCTAATTACATCCCAATTTTCGCTAATCGTTTGGCTTGCTATTTGTACATGACCATACCCTGGTACATGTTCATCTTCATAACTCTATCAAAATATCATATGATATGTAAGCATCTCATTTTTTTTTTCAAAAAGGTTGTAATTACCATGGAATAGATGTATTATACTAAATAGTTTAGCATCAAATATAATCTTTTGCTTGAATTATAAGGAAGGAAGCAAAGCATAACTTGCATTTTACTCTAAGCATCACTAATTTCAATGACTATAATATTAATAGCAAGATTTAGAAACTTAACTCTCTAATTAAACTACACTATATAAATACAAGTGTACAATCTAACACTATATAGCTAATGATGAGTATGAAACAAATGCAAAAAATACATGAAATAATACTTTTGATGATAAATTTATGAGCACTGTCATTAAAGTTACATGTAACAAATTACCTACGTAACAAAAGTTATATGTAACGTACTGTACTGTCGTACTTAAGTAGTGTATCACACGGAGTAAAGTATGGACCAACTATTAACCAATTACACACAAAGTAAATTATTAATAGGGGAAGTCTTTCTATGGTGAAGGAGTAAAAGAGAACTTTTTACCGACCAATTGAGTAGTAATTACTATTGGGATTATTAACTTGCTTTAATCCATAATTTGTCTACTAACTTTTAGTCAAAGAAATTGGGTTAAAGTGCAAGTTTTTTTTTTTTTTTTTTTTTTTTTTTTTTTTTTTTTTTGGGTTGAAGTGCAAGTTTTAGTTCACAACTCACAAGTACTTTAATTATGAAAAAGTCAAATTTTGGTTATAATCGAAGTTGAAAATAAAATAAATTTCAGGTTAAGAAATTCAAATGTTACAAGTTTGATTTGCTTCGTATTTCATTGAGGATTAGGTACTTGTAGAAAGAATGTTGACATTAATTATGAAAATCAAAAACCCTTTACATTATTCTTAAAAAAAAAAAAAAAAGATAATTACAAGAAGAAGAAAGCTAATGCTAGAAAAAGAAAGGGAATGTAAGCAATCAATTGCCAACAAATAATGAAATAGAATTGTCATAGTCATATTAGTAGGCAACTCCATTATTGGAAAAAGTCAAATTGATTATACATTTATACTAGACTAGATCACTTGTAGACTTATAATACTAGTACTAAGATTTTTAATAATTATTTTAATATACAAATTGAAAAAAAAAAAAAGTTAAACTAAAAAAATTGGACAAGAAATGGTAACAATTATTGCTAGAAACAAATTGAATTGAAGGAAATCCCTCTTGTAACAAGAACCACAAATAATTTTCATTGTAACAATTTTGAAAAATGAGTATGCTATCAAATTTAATATGATAATGATGCTATAACAAACAATCGAATTTCCTAACTTAAAAAAAATAAAAATAAAAAAATCACATTCAACACTATATTTAGACCTGGCAAATGGGTCATTCGGGTCGGGTATGGGTCGGGTCATTTCGGGTCAAAAAGTTTTCGGGTCAAGTTCGGGTCGGGTCGGGTCATTTCGGGTTTCGATTTTGATTTCGGGTCAACTGATAATCGTGTCGGGTCGGGTATCGGGTCAAGTTCGGGTCGGGTCAAGTTCGGGTCAGGTCAATTCGGGTCGGGTCAATTTTCGGGTTCAAATTTCGGGTCGGGTCAACTTCGGGTCGGGTCAACTTCGGGTCGATGCTTTGGGTTAGATTCAACTCTGTATATATATTAATTTATTTTTTGACGAGAAACTCACTATATTTAATTATTTATTAAGGCTTCTTTTTTCATGGAATATACTAACTCATATAACAATTGTTACACTTTTATTGACCTTGTTTTTTTTTGGTGTTTGGATTGAATATCTATTTCAGGATCTCTTGAAACTAAGAGGGATGCTCTAACTAATTAAGTTATACCTCACTCTCTTATTGACCTTAGTTTTAATATTCTATTATCATTGTCACTGTTCACTGTTGTAATAATTTCTTTGTATTATTCTTATAATAATCTATGATTTTTAAAGTGCTCCATTAATTTTAACTGGACATACATTGATACATGTATGCAGGCTTGCCGTGCAGGAAATTGATCAATAATAGACTTCCTATTATAATTATCAGTAATTTACATTATAGAATTTTACCAATTGAATATTCTTAAAATATTTATTGTTGTGCCGATTTCAACAAGTACACACAATGACACAAGACTACAAGAGCAACAAGACTATATATTTTTTTTTCTAATAAAGACTTAAAGAGTAGTAGCGTGGAATCGTGGATGGACGCCAAGTCGCCAAGTACAGTTACTTGCACTATGAACTTTTCTTAACCGATTCGATCAGATATATGTTACGACATGCTTCGTTTAAAATTAAATTTACTGATAACTTGCAAATTACGAGGTCAAACTAACCAACATATACTCAATTTAATTGTTGTGACCGATTCAATCAAAAATAAGTTATAACATGCTTCGTTTGATTAGGAATTCAAACAAGTCAACTTAAACTCGGTTGTTAATTAGGACTTCAAACAAGTCAACTTAAACTCGGTTTTAATTAGTTCTTAAAATTACATGCTTTAATGTATAATAGTAAATGTGATCAAGTACTTAACAATAAGGGTGGAAAACAACACATAACTTTATTATAAAGTTGATTAACAACATTATTGTAAACCTATCCGATTCCAATTAATTTTTTTCAAACGAAACTTATAACAAGGTTCTTCCTATTCAAGGTAATTTGATCTCAAATTCATACTTGATAAGATTAGATTAAACCTTTTTTGGGCTACTTAATAGTTAATAGCTCAGTCTCCGACTCTCCGGTCTAAATTACTTCATAGGATGTCTCATCACTATTAGTGCATTATAAACTAATGAATTTGAAGTATTGCACTTATGCAAATATGCTTGTATCTATCTACTGCATAATTAAACAACTAAACTAATGTAGTAAATGAATATTACTTTTTGATTGAATATAAGATCATTATCGTGCATTATATTTGAGAGGGAAAACAAAAATAAAACATTTGATCAATTAAAAAATAAAACACAAAATACGGTTAAAGAGGAGTGTGAATAAAGTAAAAACGTGTCAACAAACAAAAACGTGTGTATTATTAATTAAGTGAAATATAAGATTACGAACACACTTATTGATCAATTAAAAAAATTTAAAATTTCAATTTTAACAAAGTTACAACTTAAAAGTGAAAATTTGAGAGGGAAACAAAAATAAAACATTTAACTTGGTTAAAAATTTGGGGGAAATTCTTTCCCCCCAAATGGCTAAAACTCCAAAATTATTAGAGGGAATACTCCCTCCAAATTATCAAGAGTAAAAATAAGGTGACTAATTTAGTAATTTCTAAAATACCCACCCATTTATGATTTTATTGATTTATGATTTATGATTCCCCCTTAAAACCCTTTTTCCTCTCTGATCCCCAAATACAAGTATCAATCTTCATCAGCCTCCTTCTTTGCTTCCATCCCCATCCCCATCCCCATCCCCTGGTCGAGAGAAAGAGAAATGGAGGGCGAGATCCAACTGGCGGCGCTACTCGGGCCTGACCCGGCCCCCTTTGAGGCCCTCATTTCTCACCTCATGTCTTCCTCCAACGAGCACCGATCCCAGGCTGAATTAGCCTTCAATCTCTGCAAGGAAACCGATCCTAATTCACTCACCCTCAAACTCGCTCATTTGCTCCAGTTCTCCCCCCACCTCGAAGCTCGCGCCATGTCCACCATCCTTCTTCGTAAGCTCTTCACTCGCGATTCCCTGTCCTCCTCCTCCGATTCGATTCCTCTTCCTCTTCCTCTTACGTTTGGCCTCGCCTCTCTCCCTCTTCTCAGTCCTCCATCAAGTCTATCCTCCTCGCCTGCCTCCAACGCGATGACGCCAAAACCATCTCCAAGAAGCTTTGCGACACATTGTGTGAATATATGGTGCTTTTACAGAGTTCTAGAAGAAAATAGGGAAGACATTTGTGGAAATACATTAGTGTATAGGCTATTGAAACTGAATGGTGTATGAAACATAGTGGCCGGGAAGGATGAAAGGATGGTAGAAAGAAGATAAGTAGATTTTTTGTTTCTGTGAATAGAATCAATGAAGTGGGAGGCGACAGAAATTTATGATACTTATGGTTATACTTCACAGTTTGCTGGCCCTGTATGTTGGATTTATGTACAATTGCTTATATTATTGTCTTTATATTTATGTAGCAAATGAGGATGATGGATTTTTTGGTTCTTATGTGGATTGGGCGGCGGGCTCCAAGTGTTAACTGTCAACAATTTTAAGAGTCGAATATAGGAGTATAATTATTTAGAATATTTTGTAATTTCATTTGGTATTGAACATGTACGCATTATTATTGTACTATTTTTTTTCTAGACTTGTGAGGATTGTGACTTTTATTTCAAGCTTTAGTAAATTTTTTCTCAATCTTACGGACAAACTCCGTAGAATAGTCGTAATGCTCAAAAGGAAAGTAATTTACTGTTTTTGGGCCGAAGAATTCGAGAAAAGTAATGCTCAAAATATGTAAATTACTTACGCTGCTACACATTACAAATTAAAAAATAAATTAAGTTAGTTTTATTGTGGTTATTTTTTATTTCGGTTTGCTAAGGTTAAATCGTTAGCTTAAATAGACTCTGGTCATTTCAGGTATAAGGTAATCTTAGTTCGGGTCACTTTGGACTTCGAGTCTATTTGAGTCAATTAATTCAGGTTAAAGGTCGGGTCAACTTCGGGTCTCGGACTCTCGGGTCACTTCGGGTCTCGGGTCAATTTTGGGTCTCGGGTCAACTTTGGGTCGGGTCAACTTCGGGTCGGGTCATTTCGGGTCGGGTCAATTCGGGTTTCGGGTCAAGATCGGGTCAATTCCACTTCGGGTCGGGTATGGGTCGGGTCGGGTCAATTTCGGGTTTCGGGTCAATTTCGGGTCACTGTTTTTGGGTCGATTTCGGGTCATGGGTCGGGTCATTCGGGTCGGGTCATCAGGTCTGGGTCAGGATTGCCAGGTCTAACTATATTACATATAGTATTCATAGTTCAAATTACACTATCAACGCGACTATTAAAAAAAAAAAAAAAAAAAAAAACTCGGTATGATAAAGGAAGACTTACAGGAGTAAAAACAGGATAATCATGACCAGAAAACTGGGAAGAAGGACGAGAATGAGAAGGAAGAATATGATGATTAGGAGAAGTTGAAGAACGAAATCTGAGATGAGAAGGACTATTCCCCTGCATTAAAGCAGCATGTAATGCTCTGAGTTCAACAGCTTTAGCAATGGCTGCTTGTATTTCTTCCCTGTTAATTTCCCCATTATTTACTCCTTTTACTTCTGCCATTAATAACAATAATTTCCCACAAATTCAAGAGCTTGAATTTATTTATATTAAATAATTATAACTCCATTGAAAACAGAGGTACCCTGAATCTGAAACAGAGTACTCTGTTTTTTTAAGGTTGTTTCTTGGGATTTGGAAGATAAATACCCAAACAAAAAAAGTTGGGTTTTTTTTTAGGATGGAAACTGGAAAGATTATAAAGGATAGTGAAGAAGAAAATTAGAGAACCATAGAAATAGAGAGTAAAATGGATGATTATTGTTGTTTTATGTTTTGTAGTAGAAAATTGTGTTTTTTTTCTTTTTTATGGGGTGAAAAGAAATTTGTGTGTTGTAGTATATGTCTCACTTAAAAGGGTGTGCATGTGAAGGAAAGAAGGTTGAAGAGTGGAACTTACTCCATTTGAGGAAGATAAGGTTTTTTTTTTTACTTAAATGTCCTTGGTTCTTTAATAATTAGACTTTTTTTAAAAAAAATCTTTTTTGGAGGTATAATTATATATCATTGGGTGTGTGTGACCACAAAAAATGGAGATGGCACTACTTTTGTTATGATTGCTTCATTGTAACACTTTGTCATGCTTATTTGTATAATTATGCCACATTCAAATTGTAAATTATTACAAATTTATTAAATTTTTAATTCACAATTTTTTTTAAGAATAACCTAATTGACAAATATGATAATGCTTATTAAGTAATGACTATTTATTACTTAGCTAACTTCTCCTATGTTATACTTATTATTTTAATATATTAATGTATAGAGTATGTACTTTAACGACTCATAACTTACTTATCCATATGTCAGCTCTAAAAGGTAAGCCACATACTAATATTGTCAAACATTTGTGCGTTATTTTTTTTTAGTCCCTACTCCCTACAACTTGTACATAGTCTTTATTTTTTTTATTTTTTTTAAGATAATGAAAGACGCTGATTTATATTTGAAACGTATATATTAATATATGTATCAAAAAAAAAAGTTAGTTATATGATACCTTTACAAGTTACTCCTTAGTCCTTAGAATTTGCAAACTAATGAGATATGTACACATTGCTATATGGTAGCTTTCTAAGGGCAAAATGATATACTACATCATTGATAAAGAACAAACAAGTACATGATTCACGGGTGGAGTTTAGAAATTCAATTTGCAAATGTACATAATACAATGTGAAAATGTGGGGGACAGTGTTTGATAATTTAGTGATTTATTTAAAAAAAATTATACACAAACATTAATTTATTTTTTATTCCATCAAATTATATGGTAAAATGGTAAAATTGTGATGTTTATAGAGTTCTAATAATTGGGTCATGGAAATTAATCCTATAATCTATTAAAATTAAGAGGGAAGCTCTAATCAACTGAGTTATCTCTTACTTATGAATCAACGTAGTAAATAATTTTTGTTTCATCTTATGCAAATATTAGTTAAATATAAAAAATAAAAAATTGTGCAAATAACTTAATAACTCACGTAAGGAGCGCCATTAGTGTCACATAAAAGACTTAAACAAGTTCAAAAAATATTAACAGTCTAAGGCATAATTGATGGAGTATAAAATATTTACTTAAAGGGTGAAATCGGAAATTTAGGATCACTTATGGTCCATATTTAATTAATTTTATTTAAATTTGTCTCTTGAAAGAATTTTTACTCATTAAATAGAATTAAAAACAAATGTATGAAAAGACGTATGAAATAGTTGAATATTTTTATATGATAACTTTAGGATGAAATAGAAGGAAGTTGGTATGGTAGTTTAATGTCAAATCAGAGCTGGACAATAAACATTAATGTGATTACTAAAAAAATAATAAAATAAAATTAAAAAGAAACACATTAATGTGAATAATATCTCACTAATTTGCTTAATTCGAAGTGTAGCCCCTATTGTTTCCCTATTCAACAATTCTACAATTATTCTTTCAAAAAAAAAAAAAAAAAAAATCTACAATAATGATCTAATTGTTAGTTGACATGGTCAAGCTGTCAAAGTACTTTTGATAATATGGAATACTAATCTATAATTGATAATGAGATTTTTGATCCCATACAAAAAATATATAGATGAAAAATAAAATTAGATAGAGATAAAATTAGACCCTTCGATAAAATGAGATTGAAAAAAAGAAATTTTGTCAAAAATTACATTTTACAACCTGATTTTTGTGAAAAAACACCTTTTAAATAAAATGTTGTGAAAATCTACCTAATTTAAAAATTTTGTTGTAAAAAACCACCGGCTGTCGTTGACCACTCTTTGACCACCGTTGACTGACATTTTCTGGCGTTGACCGCTTTTCTCCGGTGTTGACCACTCTCCCAAACCCTTCACCGGAAAAGTTTGCCCGTCCCTCCCCCTCCCCCTCGCCCTCAAAAACCCTAAAATTCACTCTCCCTCTGCCGGAAATGTTATCGGAGTAGGTTTTGTGGTGGAGAGGAGTGAATTTTAGGGGGTCTTGAGGGGGGAGAGGGGAAGGGGCAGCCGAATTTTTCCGGTGAATTCTAGCGGCAACACCGGAGGAAGGTGGTCAAAGGGTGGTTAATGGCAGTTGGTGGTTTTTTACAACAAATTTTTTTAATATTTGGTGGTTTTACAACAAAATTTTTAAATTAGGTGACTTTTCACAACATTTTTTTTAAAAAGTGATTTTTCACATAAATCATATTTTAAAAGGTGTTTTTTGACAAAATTATCTTAAAAAAATTATATCAACAAGTTTAATAGAGTCATAAATTACTTTAATTATCAAAGATCAAGAAATGCTCTTTGTTAAAATACATGTCCAAATAACAGGTCACGTGACAATGTGAGATATAATAATAATAATAATAATAATAATAATAATAATAATAATAATAATAATAATAATAATAATAATAATAATAATAATAATAATAATAATAATAATAATAATAATAATAATAATAATAATAATAATAATAATAATATAATACGTTTGTGTTACTGGCAGATAATATGGTATTCTTAATGGAATTGCATGTAGGGTTAAGTAGGTTTGTTTATACAATTTGTTGGTTAGTTGCCTCTCATACCTACTTTTGTTACTTCATAATTAAAGAGAGCTCATTATTTTTTCATTTTATATACTTTATTCAATATATATTTTTTTTTGACAATATCACTATTATAAATGTTAATCAGCTTGTAGTGAATCAACTACCCCATCAAAAAGCTTCCTGATCTATTTGTCAACCTCCACATGCAAAAGGCCTTTCCTCTTTTTAACTAATCTTGTTTAGAGAAAAATGACCACGTTATACTGCACAAACCACTTTTAATTACAAAGTAACTAGTCCACTTTACTTTTCAACTTAAATGAAGCAAATAATCAAAATGGAGTAACACGTACTTCCTTGACTAATATAATTGGTAAAAACGAGTATAATAACTATAAGAGCAACACAAGCAAATAACATATACTTCGTACTAATTTGTTACGTGTAATCTGTTAACTTGATTTTCACTTATATCACGGAGTATTAAATTTTGACAAGTATATTAGACTTTATTAGAATTTATTTTGTTATAATTTGAGCTTATGTAGTGCGAATTTAGTATTACAATACCACTTGTTTTACCAATTTTTTTGAATGAATTCATCTTATTTAGGTCATGTTCTGTTCACCTTATTTTCACTTATTTCAGGTCTGATAAGTTCAAATAAGTTTCAATAAGTTCATATAACACCTGATAATAAGTTCAGATAATTTAAAATCATGTGAATAGAACAGGCCCTTAAGATGAACAAAATAAGGTGTAATTAAGATTGTGAGACGACTTTCTAATTTTCTTCCAGGTACTTCCTATAACGTATCAATATAGATTGACAAAGGTATTAGATTATTAGTATGTCAATTTTGTCAAAAATATATTGACTTAGGATACTTGTATGAGATAATGACAACAATTAAGCACTAACAACTTTCATAATCTTCTCAAATTTCAACACTCATAACTTAACCACTCCCCCTTTGGATGGATTTATCGTTTTCGCTATAACATATACAAACAAGATATTAGGTGTAGAGATTATGCATGCATGCTTAGTGTTTGTTGTGATTAATCACATGGTTACGTAACATAGTATTAATATAGAGATCTTTAATTATAGAATAAGTTTTATAAGTCTTAACCATTAGCTTAAACTTTTACTGTAATAAATTTGGTATATATATCAAGTTTCGGGTTCAAGTTCAACATGCCAATACATAATGAGTACATACGTAGAAGTTATACTCTAAGTATTTATAACTCAATTTATGCTATGTTGCTTTGATTTACTACGCAGCGGATGAATATATATTCAAGTATGATAGTCATCCTTAAAAAGGCTACTATCGTTAAAAAAAAATTGACTCGTTTTTTTATTTATTTTTAATGTCAAAATTAATCATAAAACAAAAAATTAATTTTTAAAATTCATTTATTAAATTGAAATAGATCAAATAATTTTTTTAATCATTTTTCTGAATTTTTGTATTTAATTTACGAAATTCATCTTTTATTAATGTTGAATTTAAGAAATAATTTATTAAATTAATTACAAAAATTGTTAAAAAGTTCATAATAAATCTTTAAAATAAGTAAAAAAAAGATTGTTCATTTAACATTTTCCAAAAAAAAAACAAGAATTTATGGTAGTCATTTAAAGTTTGACTATCATAAAACATTTTCAGAATTTTTTACTGTATTATTATCATTTTCTTAATACAGAAATACATCGTATAAATGTGCAAGTGAATTGTCATTCTCAATATATTCACATATATATAGCCATCTACGTCTTTTTACATGTAAAGCAAAGACATACTCCGTATAACAGGATCGAACAAAGTATACGAAGAAGTAATTAATTTTTTAATGAAAATTTGTAGTGTAATTTTTTATAATAAGTTGCAGTATTGGTGCTATTGCTTGACATTTTGTGTGAAAAGATAAGGGAGATGTTATTCCTCTTGGATTTCCTCGTTCACTGTTTGAACCTTGTCCACTTCTGATTGTTCTCTCTGATTAAAGAAGATTCCACTATTCTGTCTTTTATTTTTTTTTCCAAAATTCTCTTTGATCAATTAATTTCCGGCTTGGGATGGCAATGGGTCTAGGATTCTACCTTAAAATATGGATATGGGTCCGGGTAGAATATGGGTCTAGGACCCTACTAGGACCGTGTTGGATCCTACCTTAAAATATGGGTATGGGTCCGGGTAGAATATGGGTCTAGGTAGTATCGGGTAGGGTAAGGTAGGGTATAGGTATGACGTCTTCAGGCATGTACCCTACGCGGGCCCTACCCATGGACCCTTCATACCCATACCCTATACATATAACCCTAAAATCCTAAGAAATCAAGTATGATTGGGATGAAACCCTAGCTGCTAGCGTTTTGAGGGTGGGGGAGGGTCGACCGGCGGTTTTGAAGGGAGGCGGGAGGTTTTTTTAGGCTTAATCGTGGGTGGGGGTGATTTTTCGGGAAGGGGGTTTATTTCCCGAGGCTTGGGAGGGGCAGCGATGGCCGGGAGAGGGGTGGCTAGGGTCGAGGTGGGGCGACATGGTCTGGGGAGGTGGTGGTTGAGCGGTGGTGTGGCTGGAAAAGGTAGAAAGAGTGTTGTTGTTGTGGTTCTCTAGTGGTGTTGTGGTGGCATGATTCCTTGGGTTTTTTTGTTTAAAAAAAACAAACAACACCCTAAAAAGAATAAGTATTATTTCATTCTCCTTAATTCTCATTCCGATTTCCATTTTGATTCCCCTTTGCGAATCAAACGACCCTTTAGTCTTTCACCAGGACTATGTATATGACTATTCCTTGATTTAACCTCACACATAAATGGACTGTAGGCCTATGTAATGTACAACATCTTTCTATCTTAGAATATGTATATAAATATTGCTTTGACTTATTTGAAATCATATTTTCAAAGCAATTTTTATCAAGTTCAAGAATTATGTATGCCACTTTATAAGGAATAAACTTTCATTATTTGTCATTTACGATGCTATAGACGACATAACATAAATCAAGTTTTGAATCAAGTCTTTAATATATGCTTTCGAATGTTTTAATTGAGATGGATGCAGTACTAATAATAGTTATGATTCTGAATATCAATTATAGTTGATAAATTCCAATTTGTATTAATCATATTGGTTGTATAGTACACAATTTATGCGTAAAAGTTGTTATAAAGATTGTCCATGTGTTTAAATATTTTACTTTGTTACTTATTCTTGAAATTCTCGGATAACAAATCGTTAATAAATTCAAATTTGTAGCAATCATATTGGTTGTATAGTATACAATTTATGCATAAAAATTATTATTCTTGTATTATAAAGGGTTGTCCATGTGATTTAAATATTCTACTTTGTTATTATTCATGAAACTCTTGGATAATTAATCATTAATTTATAATTGATTATTCACATTGACTTTTCATCATTTTGTTAAAAATTTATAATAAAAAAAAAATATGACTACTTGCAAGTTGGACTTTATAAAATTTCAAACTTACTTAAATCTTAGTAAGATCTAGGCTCAAATATAAGTGGGCTGGGCCAACTTCAAATAAGAGGTGAATAATTGGGTCAATAATTGCCCCATGTTTAATGTTATTTCTTCCGTGGCCATCTCCCTCTCATATACTCTTATATTTGATTCGATTTTATTTATATATAAAAAAATTAGGTTCGCAGATAGATAAATTGGCAAAGTGCCATTAAAACTAATTGACAAACCCCAGTTGCACTATCATAGTATACCCATATATAAAATTTACAATATACAAAGTTTTAGTAGCTTAGCTTAATGAATACTAGATTTGATATTAGAAATAAAAGCATTAAATTTCATGTAACTTCTTTTTTACTTTATTACTTGTTTAGTAAATTTGTCAAATATTTTCTATATGGGAAGGGTAAGGTTACAGTTTTTATGACTAGTCTTTTTTTGTGTGTATCACTAATGTGTTGAGTTAATATATCTTAATCATTTATTTTTACTGTCTGAACATTTATTTCAGGATACTTTACTGCCTTTAAAATGAATTTGTAAAATAATCTTCAAATCTTAAAAAAAAATTGGATTACCGATGCTATTAAGCTATGAAACATAATGTAACATGTTTTCAAGACACCTCTACGGAATCTGCAAAGATAACTCATTTTTCTTCAATTATTAATACCTTCTCTTTAAATTTTTTCCGGTTGGGTTTACCTGCACAATTATCGATATTGCTGAATTTAGACTATTTTATAAATGGGTTCAATAAATAAACATTAAATATTAATCGAAAGTAAATGAATATATTAGTATAAATCATTAATAAAATATTAATAATTAATTACGAAACAACCTTTTATTTCGTTAGGAGGATAATTACATTATTCTTTTGTATTTAATTAATTATAAGAGTATATAATTTTTTAAAAAATAAAACTTGTATTTAAGATATGATATATTTATATGAAACAAATTATGTTAAAAATATTTATTAATTTACGTAAAACTATATATATATCATTTTTAATCATTTGAAGGTTTGTAATAAATTTTTTGTTAATAAATGTGGTCAATTGACCCCGTTATTTTGACCTTAGATCCGCCACTAATTACCGAATAGATTAGAGTACATGATAGACAGGTTACTTTTTACTAATAAGGTGGACGAAGTTTCAGAGTTGACTAGTGCATCATATCCCACCGCTTTTAAGGTTCTCTTCTTAGAGATGTAGATGCTGGCCTATCATGTTGCACGGGCTTGGAGGGTGATGTAATTACTGTTATTAATTTTTTATTGTTATTGTTGTTGTTATTGTTGAAGTTGAAATTTGTTTTTATTTTAAAGGATTTTGGGAGGCTGCTCGAGTGTGGGAACAAAATGCGATGTTTGCTTATACTGAAACAGCTTATATCTATGGGTAAAATTTACTTTCATTATCCTTTTTATAATTCTGATTATAATATTATTCATACGGCTATAGACTTTATCAATCTAATGTGTTTTTTTTTTTTGTTATAGGACTAAGTTGTTGGAATATGGATCTCTGCACAAGGCGATTAATGCCTTTACATCAGGCTTTAATATGGCTGAAAGTGAAGAAAAGAAAAAGATGGAAGATATGCTTACGGAGGCAGAGAGAAGAATGAAAGCTTTAAGAGAACATACAGCATTGGAAGAAATTGTACCAGTTGTAGAAGAAAATGTTCCAGAAGATTTTCAACAAGTAGCACAAGATGATCACCAACAAGCTGAACATGAATCCGAAAGACATGGTAATAACTAATATGAGCTAAACTTACAATTAAATTAAATTAAATTGATTATTTATGGTAAACTTGTAATTTAAATACTTCACAAAAATTATCACCTAAATAATTCATGAAATTTAGCAATATTGAAATTAAGAATTTAGTAGTTGATATTGTGATGAAAATAGCACAGATACTATTTGTGAAGTACAGTGTGAGTTAGAGCCAGAGATACAGAGGAATAGAAAGATAAACTGATATGATATTTCTTTGGTTAGGACTTTAAACTTTGAGAAATGAGGCTGAAAATTAAATATTTTATTATTTGCAAAGTGCCCTTTCTTTGGTTTAATCTGTAATTGTTTAAAACTATAATAAAAGGGAAAATTTCGATTTAAAAGTTTCACTCTAATAGGCTAATTCTACATGAATACGCAATAATGGGGTAAATGGAATTCGATAAAAATAAAATTGACAACTAGAAGTTTAGAGGAAATTTCCCACCTAAATTTAAATCAAATGACCATAGGATTACTAAATTATGGCCTTATAGGAATATGATGGTCTACTTGAAGTTACACTGAAAATTTGTAGCCTACATTTTCACTCCAATTTAAGACATTATTACATATGATAGAATCGTAAAAGTATTGATGTGTAGTCACTACTTACTAGTCCATCTTATATCTGTCTGAACTCGACTACCATCTTAATGAGTACGAACAACCCTTACCTCGTGATTGATTCTTTAAATTATCACCATGCTCCATTATGCATCTATACAAGATGACATTGTCATGTGCTCTTAAGTACTTCAAATACAACCGATTTCAAGTTATACGATCTAGAATTAAATCAATCACTAATGTATTGAATTCAAATTAATTTAAGTAAATTGATGTATTTGATTCAATCAAAAACTGAATTAATTATTTACGTCCCGCCTCTAAATATATGTAGCGTTTTTTTTATAAAATTTATGTGAACAATATCAAAAAATTTCTTGATTGCTAATTTTGTTGTGTTTGTGACTATAAAAATAGCAAAAGAGCCTTTGGCGGAGGAGGATGTGAGAATCATTGTGGAATCAAAGAGGAAAGCCAAGAAAAAAAAGAGCAAAGAAAGCAACTCTCAATGGTCAAGAAAGCTGCGGAGGTAGCAGATGAGTCAGATGGAAATGTTTTGGAGGAAAGCAAAGATAAGGGAAGTTGATCAAATTTGGTCGAAGAAAGAAAACCGCCGGAGGCAAGATTATGTTATTTGTCAAACACTAGTAAAGATTGAATAAAAATAGCGCACAAATAAGCTATTAAATAATGTTTAGTTAAGATTAGCACTTATCATTAATTAAACCCGTAATGGACTTAAACTGACAGCTTGGACCGATCTTAGTAAATTGGCCATAACTTTTCGTATACAACTCAAAATTGAGCTTATAATATATCGGTGGAAATCACTTTCCAAACCTGATCCAATAGAAGAAGAATCGGACAAAAATAATAAAACAATTTTCCAGGCCAACTCCATCTTTAGAACGTAGCATGTAGATCAAATTCAATTAGGGCTTTGCCATTAAATTAACTTATGAAATTTTGCATGAGCTTACGAAAAGGCACGAAATTTTTTTGAAATTTTCAAAGACACGAAATAATTTGGGCTAAAGGGATTAAAGGATTAGGGCTTAAGGATACAGATAGAAATCGGGTTAGGCTGATAAAACCGTGCACACTTTGCGAATTAAAACCAATCGTAAATGTAACGAGTAGGTAACCTTCATCATTGAGTTTCTTTTGTATTTATCTTTTCCTAGTTTAGCTTTGCTTAACTTAGAATTATATTTGTGTATATATACTATTATTCAATCAATGAATTGATGACGGAAAATCATTCTTTCAGTCTCTAACTTTTGAACCATTAGATAGTTTGAATCAAATTAGTGCTTACTGAATTTGAGAATGGAAAATGGATTGAAAACTGATATTTTGGATAAGGAAAAGGAACGAAAAGGCCAACGAAGAAAAATAAAAGCCAAAAGGGTAAATATAATATTTTGGTTAGGGTAAATTCGTCAACACACTGGTGCTAACCTACAATTCATACTTATAACTAGAGGTGGCCACTGTGCAGGCTAGGTGGGCTGGGCTAGAGTTAGGTGGGTTGTGGGTCGTGGTTCGGGGAACATGGACACTAGATCAAACCATTTAAAAGTAGGGTGGGCCGGGTCATGGGTTGGGGTCGGAGAAACTGAATACACCAGAGTTATGTTCATGGGCTTGGGTTGTAGGTGGATCGAATTGGGTTCATTGGTGAAGTTGGTTAGGACTTGAGGGTGGGTTAAGATGGATTCACGGGTTAGGTGGGTCATGAGTTGGGTATATCAAATGGGTTATCGGGTTGTGTGGGTCAAATGGAAAAAATTCAACTATTCAAGTTTATTTTCTAAAATAGTTTTAAATATATTATTAATTTTTTATTTACATTTAAACTTTAGATAATTAATTTAAAAAGTGATTTGGTAAGTTTATTGGTGGGCTGGATTGGGTTAGAGGGTTGAGTTGAAACATTGGTTTGGGCATGTGTGTTGGTCGGTATGGGTGGGTCGCGTCACACGAGTCTAGATTGGTGCACAAGTTGGGTCAAAATGGGCTACGGCTACGCCGACATGGGATAAGCGCAATTTTTTGGACCGCAACATGCCCAACTTTTCTAGCGGGTTGTGTTGGATCGGATCTAGGTCAGACCCATATAACCTACGAGCCGAGTTGGGCCAAATGGGCTGGGTCCAACCCAACCCAACCCAGTGGACACTGTATAATATATCCACACAACTAATTCAGCAATTCTCATCACTAATTGCAATTCTCATCACTAATTCAACAATTCTATTCTCATAACTAATTCAGCTCATAACTAATTCAGCAATTCTCATAACTATCTCCATTTACAATATAAACCCTAAGAAAAAAAATCCCCCAAATTTCCCTCAAAATTAAAAAATAAATTCTCCAGCAAAGCAAGTTCTCTGATTCTCCATGGAAGCTCTCTGTTTTTTGTTTTTGGTGAGTTTTCGATCTTTTTTATTTATTTATTTTTATTTTTTTGTATTTGAATCATCTTATACATATGATCTATTGATATGGACTTCTGCTGTTATTCTTCCTTGTTGTTCTCAAAGTATGAATCTCTCTTTCCCATTTTCATTATTTCCTTGGTTCATCCCAAAATAATTGCATCAATTTTAAGAGCCATAATTTAGGGTAAAATTAAAATTGCAAAGAAAATCATGGGGAGAAAACTAAAATCGTAACCACTTTGTAAGAAATCTGCTCTTTTTCAAGGGTAATCAATTTGCTAATGAAAATGTTAGAGGTATGTATCGTAAAATATATAATATATTTTCCGTATTGATATTAATAGTATTAGGAGAATAATATATTTAGGTTTATTTATGTTAAGATATTATTTAGTTTATACTAAAATATGTGGTAGTATATACTAAGATATATAAGATTGTTTCTATCTTATATTAACTTAGCTTTGTGTATATTACTCAGTCTATCTATCAATAATATTCAACCCATCATATTATCATAAAGGTCATATTAAATTTGTCATGATATCAAGAGTGGGTTAGATCTTTGGAGAGTTTACAAAAAAAATTCACCTGCGGGATGAAATATTAGTCATACTTTTTTTTCCGTTGAAAATATGTTGAAGAATTGATGATGATGGTTATACGTGGCTTTTGTATAGTCATGGTTGAGATTGAGTTTGGTTTGACGATGAGGTGAAAACGTCTTTGAAAAGACTCGTGATTGATAAAAAAAAAACGGCTCTCTTGTGTTGTGAGACAAAAAATTAATAAGGGTTCAGAAAAGTATAAATCTTTTAGGAGGTTGATGGGGGAGTGAGGTAGGTGAGCAGAATGAATTATTGAATCTCACTAGTGGTAGCTTTCATATGGGCCTCCAACCTTGCCTCAAAATCTGAATCAAAACGGGGTTGTGCGGATTGCTGGATAGTAGGCGGTTTCTGTTGGAAACCCGGTGGTGGATTTTGCTGCGCCTGAGTGTTCTTGTAGGAGAAATTTGGATGATTTCTCCAGCCTTCAATATATGTATTTGAATAAGGGTCATTAGGTCTCCTTTGTGATGTTGTGTAGAAGGCGTTCGCTTGCTCTATAGACATGTCTTCTGTAGGTGGGCGGCATTGAAGCGCGGTATGTCCTTATTCTTGACATAACTGACATGTCTCAACTAAAGGCGCGGAAGGTCCCACTTGTATCTTTTGAATTCTGCTAGCTAGTGCTTGAACAGTACTGGTTAAGAGTGTTAGCGAATCGACCTCGTATTTACCTCCCGTCCTTACATTATTTCGGCTTCCCCGAAGGTAATTATCATTTGCCGCCATCTTCTCTATTAATTATTTCGCTTCGGCGGGATTTTTGGTCATAAGCGAACCTCCAGATGCAGCATCTATGTAGATTCATAATTCATGCGTTAGACCATTGTAGAATGTTTGAATAAACATCCATTCGGGAATGCCGTTGTGGGGGCATTGTCTCTGTAACCGCTTGAATCTCCTCCACGCGTCGTATAAGGATTCATCATCTGATTGCCTGAAAGTAGATAGTTCGTTTCTCAACCGTGCGGTCTTTTCCTGTCCCAAGAACTTGACCAAAAAAGCTTTCACTAGTTTATCCCAAGTGTTGAATGAGCCATGACCTTCATCTCTCAGCCACTCCTTCGCCCTATCCCATAGAGAGAAAGTGAAAAGGCGAAGTCGTAGAACGTCGTCTGTAACACCATTTATTTTCATGGTGTCACACTTCTCTAGGAAACTGTCTATATGACTCACTAGGCAGTCGTGAGCTGTACCCGCGAACGAATCGTTTGAGATGAATTGCGGTTTCAACTCGAAGTTCTGGGCGGTAACAGGTGGTCTGACAATGCTGGATAGGAATCCAGTTGTCGTATCTGGGATACCGTATTCCAAAAGGGATTTTTGTACTGGATCGTCCATTGTTCTCCTACCTTGAGTTCTTCTTCTTCTTCTTCTCCTACCTCCTTGTCTTCTTGCAGTCACTTCGATTTCAGGATCAAAGGGTGTTAGATCGTCTGAACCTGTACGTCGTGTTTGCATGCAACAAGGAACTAAAAGGAAAATATCAAAAACACAAGGGACAATAGCCGAAGCTCTAAATTCTACATAAGCTCTAAATTTGTGGGCCTATAATGTTGAAGCTCTAAATTCAACATAAGGAATTCAATCATCTCCCCGCCAACAGCGCCAAATTTGATAGGCTTATCGTGTACCTAACAAAAATAACCTAACTAGAGCTCTACTAATGTAGTCGGGCAAGCAAGGGTCGAATCCTAAGAGACTAAGGACTATCAATTAAAAGACTCTAGCGGCTATTAAGTTTGAAAACAAATAATAAGTGAAGTGTAACTAATCTAAGTAACGAAATAATAAGAAGAGCAATCTAAAGTAATTAAGAGAATTCAATTAACTAAAAGCATCCAAGATCAAGCATCACCGCAAATATGATCAATTCATGAACAATTCTACCCCCAATATATAATCCAATTGACAAGAGGAAAAGTATTTCCTTGAACAATACCAAAGGTCTCTCCCGAGTTCACAATGGCTTCCCGAATCAACTATCAATCCTACTTCCGTGGTTTCAAGCAAACAAGGGACATTAAACACAATATTTAGCTTCCTATTTATCCAACCAACTACTTCCGTGTTGATAATCAAACCCTTAATTGATTTATTCAAACCCGTTAAAACCCAGCTCCTGTTGTGATTAAAACAATGGATTAATAACAATACTAATTATCCCTAATCTATTATTGGCATAAGCACAATCAATTAAGCATGAACAATTAGAACTATTATTGGAGAATTTAAATAATTAAATCATGCATTAACCATATTCGGGTTCCGCTAGATCTTGGAATAGAGGAACTACTCACACATGGTCATGAAATCAAGAATGATATTCAATAACGAAAACATAATTAACAATAATAAAATAAGAGAATTGAGAGAAGAAATCAATACTTGGAATTAATTATGAAATCTTGAATCTTGAATCTTGAAGGTAAAACCCTAGGAAAATAATAATAATGGAAGAACGTAAAACCAAAAAAACTCCAAAATTGATGTATGTAAAAGTGCTCCCTAAAAGAATTATCTCAAACCTATTTATAAGCTGGGGAAGTAGTAATAGACTCCTCTTAGGATTTGGTTTCATAAAACCCCAAAAATAGGCCCAATTTCGTCACTAAATCAGGGGGCCGCAGCTAGGCTGCGGTGTGATTCGCGAGCCGCAGACTTCCGCAGTCTGTCCCGTGTTGCATCCTTAAGCTCTTGTGAAGTACACCGCAAGTGAGCTGCGGTATGGATGTGTAAACCGCGAGCAAGCTGCGGAGTGAACTGTCCTCTATTGCTTGTTGCTCTTTTTATGAAGTAAGTCACAAATGAGCTGCGATAAAAATCTCAAAGTTTCCTCGTCAATCATGAAATACATCAAAAACAACGAAGCTACCATGGAAGGCATGAAATCATCAAGACTAAACCAAATCAACACGAATAAATCAAAAACTCCTAAACTAGACTCAAAAAGGGGAACCAAAAATACTCTAAAAATATGTACAAAACACGACTTATCACTCCTACTCATATGACCTTCCAAAGGCTAAAGATGTGCTTCGTTTCCTCTCTATTTAGCAGGTACTCGTCTCCCATGTCCATCTAGTATCATGTTGCTAGCTTTTTGTGCACGCGATGTTATAGAGAATTTTTAAATACAAAAATTAGGTTTGGTGTTTAAAAAATGTTATTAATGCGTCGAACAACGTTAGTTTTACAGTAAAAATGAAAAATTAATAAGTTCACACATAATTTTAAAAACTTTTAAATAAATAGTTTCTTTTTTTTTATATTTTCACTTAACCTAGTTTTCCCCTTTCACTTATAGTAAGTATAATGCGAATGGAGTAAATGATTTATTTCTCTAAAAGAATTATTATTTATAAATAAAGTTGGGTGTTAAAGGAAATTAAATAATTAAACTTTTCAATTAATTGTACTTGCCATTTTTTGAACATGATTACTTATTTTAAGTAGGGGTGTAAATGATTTCATAAATCAAATGTCATTATGGAAGATTTTTAGTACATAGTTTATAAAATTACCCCCATTTGATTTACAACGATGAAGAATTAGTAAGGGTAGTGTGTTATTTTCAAGTGGACACCATACCTCACCCCTTAACTTATGTAATAGAGATTATTCTGTTACGTAACATCAAACTGTGTTATTTTCGAGTGGACACCATACCTCACTCCTTAACTTTTATAATAAAGATTATTTTGTTACTTCACATCAAGGTTATGTAATGTCGGTTCTGATATGAAATTCATTTACGAAGCTACAGTTGTTCGTTAACTTAGTCAAAGGAGGCATTGATAGTTTATATCCCAAAATATTGCAGGGGAGATTAGTTTTCGAGTCTTGTTTCATTTTGTTATTTGGTATCCCTATGAAGGTGTAGTATTTTCATATATGATTGTGAAGGTCATGATGTTGTTCGGTTGTTTTCAGCTGTGCTATTGTAGTCGTGTAGTACTATGTTCAAATCTTACATTCAGTGTGCTTCATAGTATAGAACCTGTATGTGGTTGTTATATGTTGCGTTGTTCAATTAGAAAAGGGCTAAATGCGACCTAACAATTATTTAGGACTTATTTGTAGTGTTTGTTCGTATGTGTTAATGCATAAGATGCTTATTCTGTGATGGACTCAACCACCAGGGTTCTTCCCACAACAACTAGGACTCACAGAAAACGGTAATGACAATAATAAGAAGAAACAGAAATAAATGAGGGAGTAAGATTAGAGCTTAAATTGAAATAAACAAGGGCATACACACAAAGTAGTCAGAATCAAGTGTGTTTAGCATAAAACTTTACCTTTTCTAAACAAGTGTGGGAGCATACCAGTATTATTTTTATACTACTCTTGATGATCAAGGCATCACTGTAGTTATTGATTAAGTTCATAGTATATCTCATGCTATGCTATGGTGGGGGAAGCGGATTCTTGTTCCGGGGGCGCAATTTAAGATCATTCACTTATGGTTTGCCAAGAGGCGATGCATGTGTTTTTCAGTGTTTGTAAGTTTGTAACTAATTATTTTTAAATGTGGGTACATTTTGACTTGACTAGTGGTGGAAGAGGATTGACTTGGTGTTGACTTCCTGGGTAAGGTAAAACCTGATATAATAGGTGCTTGTATTCTTTGAAGCCTGGGTTCGATGTTACATTTTAGATGAGCATTTAATATGCAGTTTGTCATGGGAATGTTTTTCCAGTTACCTAGGAAGATGATAAAGTAGGATTTTCCCTGATGATCTATCATCTTCAGTTCCTCACTTTGAATCTATAATGACAACCTATTATTTTTGGTCTCTTTGTTGTTTACTAGGTTGCCATGAGTTTGGCACTGCCATGTTTTCTTCTGTCAACATTATTTACCTGTTTGAATATAAGATCTTAGATTTGGATTGCTAAAATTAGTTTATACCTGTCGAGTAACTTTTGTAATTTACGATCCAAGTCTCTCACTTAGTGATTTTTTACTTGTCACAGGGTCGGGTAGGCTAGCGTGGTGCTGGTGCTGGTCGCGAGGAAGGGGAAGAGTATGCTGCTGGTCCTGAGGAAGATTAGTTGCTCCTATCTATTGCTTGTAAATCATCATCCAATTTTAAATTTTGGATGTTTTGCCTTTTAGTCTTTGAATGATGACTGTTATCTCTATTAGTCGTGCTTGGTTTATCAGTTCAAGTAAATTATACAGTATGACAATGATAAACTTAGTTGTTATGACTTATGGGTAATAATGAACTGTTTTTAACCCGGGCATCGCCTCGGTCATTTTTTTATTATAATAAATGTATTATCTATTTTTACGAATATTATTGAGCATTATCAAAGTTCTTTCATAAAGTTTCATATGAGACTGATTATAGTATGCAATTAAAGTTACTTCATTAGTGTTATAGGGTTCCTCAATTACTTTGATTTTTTAAGTTGTCACACGGTATGGCCGGCTGCACACAGAGCACACCGAAATTCTTTATTCAATACTCCTTATGCAATGACTTAATTTTTGCATAAGTTTAAATTATTTGTCAAAAGGATATATTTTAATTTTCAATTGTCATATAAAAATCCTTGATAAAATAGACTTACTCCCTCCATTTTGAATTATTTATTATGGTAAAAGTAATGTGTGAATCATGAATATGATAGTTTGTGAGAGAGAGTGGTGGGGATTATGAGAGAGAAAAATTATAAATTAATATGAGTGGGGTTTAAAGTAATAGAGCGAAAATACTCCGTATAAAATAATAGAAAAAATTACCAATTAAAGAAAAAGTTACTTAATTAAATTAATATGATGGTAAGGATGTGTATTGCGTGTCCAATACGGGTACGATGATAATTAGGAGAACCCTATTGCTTGACTTTATTTTTCTAAGGTAATTGCTTGACTTTCCTAATTAATCTACGTAGTATTTGGGGGTGTGTTTTCCTGTAACAAAAAAAAATCCAAAATTGATTCATTCTCAGTAAAGACTTCCGGTAAAAAACACCATGAAATTTTAACAGCCTAACTTCTTACTTCTGGTGAAACCCTAACTTTCACTTAGCTGCTACGAGTGCCCGGCTCAGCCACCGACCTCCGACCTCTTGCGTCGCCCCACTGACATGACCTCCGGCCTCTTGCATCGCCCCACTGACCCTCCTCTACTCGATTGCTCATTAAAAAGTGCATTCAGTCCTTTACAACCCTAAACCCTAACTCCTTTACAACCCTCGATTGCTGCTCGTGTGTTGCCCGCCGGATCCGGCTCCGACTCCTCTTTTCTTCCGAGTTCCGACTGCCGTAGCGTTTCCCCACTCGCAACTCGCCCTCCTCATCTCCTCTGCTTGACTGCTCCTGCTCCTCGTTTTAAGAAAACCCAGGTCTTTTTTTATAATTGTTTTTGTCCTTTTGAAGTTATTATATTATATTGTTGATTGAGTATTTGGAGTTGTGAATTGGTTAATTGAAATTGTTAATTTTTTGGTGGGTAAACTTAATCAAATTGGAAATTTGATGATGTAAGTTTGAATGGTTCACATTGGGTAGCCACCACCAACACTAACACGACACCACCAGGACCACCAAGAACACTAACACAACGCCACCCCTACAAGACCACCACCAACACCTACCTAACCACCTGACACAACTAACACCAACCCCAGCACCACTAACACCAACCCAAGCACCACCACCAAGAATCCAACAATCCCAACACCACCACCACTAACAGCCACTTTTCTCCCCGAATGGCCCATCGACATCTACCACAAGAAAGCGCCAAACACCATCTCAACCATCGCTGAACCCGACCCGCCTCAACCTTGTCAACCACAATTATCTATCCAACCACCGAAAACCTCATCCCCACTCTCTTAAAACCACAATACTCACCTCTCCTATGAACCTAGAAAAACCCATAACCATGAAACTCACTCCCATGGAAATAAAAAAACAACCATTTAAAAATAAGAACAAAAAATTAAAAATGGTAGATAATTACCCTTCTTATAAAATTTTATGTTCTTATATGGCTTTCTTGGCCAAATTTGACCATGACCACTCTAAATCTCGAGGTTTCATGGTCAAATTTAACCATACAAACCTCAAGATCTAATGGTGGTGATGGAAAAAAATGGTGGTGGATGTTCATTGTTTGAGGTGATGATTGAGGGAGGAAAGAGAAAGATGAATTAGAGGTTATGGTGGAAGATGATAAGTTGATTGGGTGGATTGAAAGGTTGTATAATTGGGTGGATGATTCAATTTGATTGGTGTAATTAGAGTGATGATTATTTTGTGTTAATAATTCAACAAAGTTTGCTTAAAACTTTTAATATTGATATCAAATTTTTAAGTAAGGGTAATTTAGTAACTCATACAAAAAAATTTACTAAAAAAAGAAAGTTTTGCTTTGTTGCACATAATATGTAGTTTCTAATTTTGGAAAATGTTGCAAATAATTCGAAGCGGAGGTAGTATTTTGAATATGGGATATGCAAGTTTCAATAACTTAACTTAATGAATATACTATTTGATATTAATAATAAAAGTGTTGATAATTTTCATGTAACTTGTTCGCTTTATTACTTGAGATTATTACAAAAATTTATGACACTGTGTTGGTTAAATAATGAAAGCTAAAAGTTCTGGTTTTCATGAATACTAACTTGCAGCTAAAGAAGTAACCAACTGAATTGTACTTAATTGCAACCATAGCTTCATAACTAATTACAATCAGTGCTAGCTAAATTGGAATGAGTACTTAATTGTAAGAAGGTAGAGAATTTCGGTGGGTTCATACATCAGCATAGGTAGTTAACAATTGAGACATAGTTTTAGGCTTATAAATGGGGAGTCAAGATTCTTATTTGGTATGCTAATTTGATTGCACCTGTAAATATTTAGTCTTTCACCTTTAGGATTATGTGTATGAATATTTCTTGATTTAATCTTAGTCTTTCACCTTTAGGATTATGTGTATGAATATTTCTTGATTTAATCTTACATGATGTGTATCATTGAATTCCCTATACCATGTTTAATGCCTTTTGCTTTCGTGCCCACCTCCCTCCCATATACTCTTATATTTGATTCTTTTTATTTATATATAAAAAAAAATTAGGTTTGCAGATATATAAAGTGGCAAAGTTCCATAAAACTAATTGGCAAAGTGGTGTTGCAGTGCCACAGTTTACCCATAGATTAAATCTACAACATACAAAGTTTTAGTAGTTTAGCTTAATGAATACTGGATTTGATATTAGAAATAAAAGCATTTAAGTTTATGTAACTTTTTTATTTGGCTTTATTACTTGTTTAGTAAATTTGTCAAATATTCTCTATATGGTAAGGGTATGTTTTCAACTTATATGACCAGCCTTGTTTGGTGTGTATCACTAATGTGTTGAATTAATATATCTTCATCCTTTATTTTTACTATTTGAACCTTTATTTCAGGAAACGTCACTGCCTTGAAAATGAGTTTGGAAAAGGGTCTTCAACTCTACAGGAAAAAAAATAGGATTATCGATGCTATCAAGTTAACTATGAATCATAGTGTAACTTGTTTTCGAGACAACTCTGCTGAATCTGCAAAGATAATTCAGTTTTCTTCCATTATTCATACATTTGCTTCGGTATTTCCTCGGTTAGGTTTACCTGCACAATTACCAGGTAGATTAGAGTTCATGGTAGAGAGGTTACTTGATGCAAACATGGTGGACGAGGTTTTAGAGTTGACCAGTGCACCATATCCCGCAAATTTGAAGATTCCCTTTCTAGAGCTACGGATGCGGGCCTATTATGTTGCTAGGGACATGGATGGTGAGCGTTACTGTTATTAATTTTTTATTGTTATTGTTATTGTTGTTATTGTTTTAGTTGAAATTTGTTTTTATTTTATAGGATTTTGGGAGGTTGCTCGAGTGTGGGAACAAAATGCGTTGTTTGCTTATACTGAAACAGCTTATATCTATGGGTAAAATTTACTTCCATTATCCTTTTTATAATTCTGATTATAATATTATTCATACGGCTCTAGACTTTATCAATCTAATGTGTTTTTTTTGTTATAGGACTAAGTTGTTGGAATATGGATCTCTGCACAAGGCGATTAATGCCTTTACATCAGGCTTTAATATGGCTGAAAGTGAAGAAAAAAAGAAAAAGATGGAAGATATGCTTACGGAGGCAGAGAGAAGAATGGAAGTTTTAAGAGAACATGCACCATTGGAAGAAATTGTACCAGTTGTAGAAGAAAATGTTCCAGGAGATTTTCAAAAGGTAGCACAAGATGATCACCAACAAGCTGAACATGAATCCGAAAGACATGGTAATAACTAATATGAGCTAAACTTAAATGAAATTGATTATTTATTGTAAACTTGTAATTTAAGTACTTCACAAAAATTGTCACCTAAATAATTCATGAAATTTAGCAAGTTGATATTGTAATGAAAATAGCTCAGACTTGTGATTTTAGATTTTACTATTTGTGAAGTACACTGTGAGTCAGAGCCAGGGATATAGAGGAGGAATAGAAGGATAAACTGATATGATATTTCTTTGGTTAGGACTTTAAACTTTGAGAAATGAGAGCCGAAAATTAAGTATTTTATTATTTGCAAAGTGCCCTTTCTTTGGTTTAATCTGTAATAGTTTAAAACTATAATAAAAAGGGAAAATTCCAATTTAAAAGCTTCACTCTAATTGGCTAATTCTACATGAATACGCAATAATGGGGTAAATGAAATTCGATAAAAATAAAATTGACTACTAGAAGTTTAGAGGAAATTTTCCACCTAAATTTAAATCGAATGACCGTAGGATTACTTAATTATGGCCTTATAGGAATAGGATGGTCTACTTGAAGTTACACAGAAAATTTATAACCTACATTTTCACTCCAATTTAAGACATTGTTACTTATGATAGAATCGTAGAAGTATTGATGTGTAGTCACTACTCACTAGTCCATCTTATATCTGTCTGAACTCGACTACAATCTTAGTGAGCACGAACAACCCTTACCTCGTGATTGATTCTTTAAATTATCACCATGCTCCATTATGCATCTATACAAGATGACATTGTCATGTGCTCTTAAGTACTTCAAATACAACTGATTTCAAGTTATACGATCTAGAGTTAAATCAATCACTAATGTATTGAATTCAAATTAATTGAAGTAAATTGATGTATTTGATTCGACCAAAAACTGAATTAATTATTTATGTCCCGCCTCTAAATATATGTAGCGTTTCTTTTTTTGTAAAATTTATGTGAACAATATCAAAAAAATTCTTGATTGCTAATTTTGTTTTGTTTGTGATTATAAAAATAGAAAAAGAGCTTTTGGAGGAGGAGGATGTGAGAATCACTGCGGAATTAAAGAAGAAAGCCAAGAAAAAAGAAAAGAGGGAAGCCAAGAAAGAAGAAAAGAGGAAAGCCAAGCAACTCTCAATGGTCAAGAAAGCTGTGGAGGTAGCACATGAGTCGGATGAAAAGGTTTTGGAGGAAAACAAAGAAAAGGGAAGTGGATCAAATTTGGTCGAAGAAAGAGAACCGCTGGAGGTAAGATCCTGTTATTTGTCAATCTACTAGTAAAGATTGAATAAAATAAAAATAGCGCACAAATAAGCTACTAAATAATGTTTAGTACACATTAGCACTTATCATAACTCACATTATAGTATACAGGACTTCAGGGCGCACTCATACCCATCATCCTTTTTTTCAGATTTAACTATCATAGTCTAATTGACAAATTGACATAGCTACACATTCTCTTACAGAATTACTACAGCAATTTACCATTACATTAAGCATAAATTACTATATTTGGCATCAAACTTAGTATAAAGTAGATTCTATTTTATTTGCAGTTTGAGCAGACTCTTTCTGTTACAATGGAGTACCTTGATGGAAATTCTTTCCTGGGATCTACAATGATTAATAACATTGCAAAAGTAAAAAAGTCATTCATTGTAGCTGAGCCGTCGCATATAGATAACATTCAAGAGCTCGTTCCTTTGTGTCTTACTCATGACAATCTTTTGAAGATTGATCAAGTCTTGAAGACTTTGAAAGGTAGACATATGCTTCTGTCTAGTGAGGAAGTATGCAGCATTGAATATTTTTTTACGCAAAAATTGAATGAGATTGCCCCTCAATCACAAGAATCTTGGTGGGAAGCTATCAAAGATATGTTTTGGAAAATATTCAGGTGATTTTTTTTTAGGTTACACAATATATTTTTAGAGATATTGTGTTTATTAGTTTTTAGATATAATTGTTTACTGACAATCTATTGTTTATATAATATGTACAGAGGTTTGATTCGGGGACTCATGCATTTGTTCGTAAGGGGTAAATCTTGTGGAGAGTTGGTGTTCAGTGCGTTTGTCACGTCAAAAGGAGAAGGTCGAATTGTTCCATCTATGAAACAGGCGAAACAACAACAAGACTTGAGTGGATTGGTAGATTTAATGAAAACCGTGATCGGACTTCCTTTTCCTCGCCAAAGCGATCTCCCCTTTCTCCCTTATCACTTGAAACACTTTTTCGATCTGATCAATAAGGCTGATGCGTAAGTATTTAATTTTCAGTTAGTATACTTGTCATTTGTAAATTATAGCTTGTTGTTAACCAAAAAGAAGACTTTATTTTTTTCTTTATGTAAGTTTGAGATTCATTTTATTTTATTTTATTTTTAATTTTTATTTTTTATAATTTGTTCCTTTTGTATCCACAGGTTCATTCCTCTGGAATTCTTAATTGATCATCCTTATTTCTGGAATGTGGCGGAAAAGATTGATTTTACATTTAAACTAAGGAACTTAGTTAAGCAAAAAACTGCAAAAATTCGTTCAAGACTTGATTCTTTGGATTATTTCATTACATGGTGGGATAACCTTAGCGATGTGTATCAATTAGTATATGTTGCGGCTGCGAAGCGCAAAATGAACAAACCATACAAACAAAATGTTGATATTGTGCGGTATTTTGGTGCTGTTTACACTCATATAAATGAGTATGAATACAAAGCTGCTCGAAAGCACAAGGTTTGAGCTTTTGTTTTAACTTTTATTCATTATCTTTTTTATTGGCTTTGAAGTTATGAAATGGTAGGTTGAAATTGAACGTTGAACATTGCATAGGGAATTGCATATGAATGATTATACGTCATGTGGGGTTAAATCAAGGAATAGTTATACAGTCCTAAAAGTGATATTCTAAATATTTACAGGTGCAATCAAATGAGCATAACCAATAAGAATTTCGAGTCTCCCTTTATAAGCTTAAAACTATGTCTCAATTGTTATTTATACTAATGTATGAACCTAACATAATCCCCTTCCTTCTTACTATTAAGTACTCATTAGTCATTAGCCTGATTAGGCTCCAAATTAGCTAGTAGTGATTGCATTTAAATATGAAATTGTGGATGCACTTTATCTTGTTTTGTTGGAGAGTACAAAATTATCCCACCCTCCTTATGCCACATTCATTAAGTACAATTCAGCTGGTTATTTCTTTAGCTCCAAGTTATTATTATTCATAAAAGTTGGAGCTTTTAGCTTTCATTACCTTAAGCAACAGTGTCTTAGCTTTCATTACCTAAGCAACACAATGTCTTAACTTTTTGTAATTGAAGTATAAATCTCAGTCTCGAAATCTATACCACTTGTTTTAATTAGCTTTTGTTACTCTGTGACTAACTTTTTTCTTTCTTTTTGTAGAGATTTACAGATGAAAAGATCGAGTCAGATCTTGCAAAGATTTTTCCTAACTTTTACGTAAACATGTTTTACTGCTTGTGCTCTTGCATAAGTAAGAGGTAAGTAACATAATTTGATTCTTTTAAAAAAGTTTCGTAGTTGACTGATTTTAATATTTATTTTTTACATCTTTGGTTAGGACACTAGACTATACAGATTTTAAGGACGTATCTCCGGTTCTTTCTCTTGGTGAGTAGATTTTTAACTTTTTCTTATCCACTGTTGGTTCTTTTTCTTTTTCTGTCCGTGTCTAGTGTCACTGTAGTCTGGGTTGTAGAAATGGGAAAGGATATGGAGGTTGCCACTTGCCACTGAGTGGTGAGTAATTACTTGTTTAACCAGGGTTATGTAATTTGATTATAAGATTGGCTAATTAGTATGTGCTATTTTAATGCACTATTATATCGATGCTATGCTCTTTGGTCTATTATTTCTGCAATAATTTGTGCAGTGGCATATTATGTTACTATTATTACTATGCCTTTTCATGTGTGCAGTTGCCTGAAGTTCCTGAAGAAGAGATTGTGTAGCTTTTGCTCCCTCCTCCTGTTCTCTTTATCTAACTGTAATTATGCCAAGTTATGGCCTATAGGTTCCTAAATTACTGTATCAACTGCTGTATTAGTGCAACTTTTATACAGCATCTTTTGAACTTCTATAAGAGCTCCATGCTCTATATGCTGTGCCTAACTGTCTTTTGTCAAGGAGGCTTAGGTCTACTTGTATATATTTCTCTATTTTGCAAAAAAAATGTACTAGTATTACTTAGGATATATCGATGAAGATTATACATGTTAACCATTTGACCTTCTGTAAAAGCTGCGAACCTTGTCTTAATTTATTCATGTCTTGGGGATTAGGATCATGGATGTGTGCAATGTGCATGCTTATTTGCTGTTGCTGTTGTTGTTGCAATGTCCGTGGAAATAGGGGTATGTTCTGTTACTCGGAACTTCCATTTCTCCCTGCCATTAACAATCTTCTTTTGTTAGTCGTTGGAGAATTTCCCATTGAACCAAGCACATGGAAGCTTTTATGTATGTGATGTGTTGGTCTCCTCAGGGCATGCCTTCCTAGATCGCTTCCATCGAAGATAAGTTTACTGTTATAGCTTCAAAGTTTGCCTAGTAAGAATTGATTACAGGATGAAGAGTACGTTGTATTATTGTAACCTAAGTTTACTGTTATGCTTGCTGAAACATATGGATGAATAGATGATCACCATTAGGTCCAACCTGAAATCAAAGAGCTTGACATTGAAATGAGTGTCTACTGTCTAGTAAGATGTTGGACAGTTTCAGGTTGTGATAGATGATTAGATGCCTGCAAGACAGCAAGAATGTCTTTATGGTGCATATATATATATATATATATATATATATATATATATATATATCCCAGCTTCTATTTTCATTCTCTTGTACCAATTTAAGGGATGCTTTTCCTAGGATGATGTATCTGAAATTTCAAATTAGTCGCAATCTTTTCGCTGCTATGTGTTAGGAATGCTTAGAAAATTCAACCTTATTATCTAATCATGTATGAGTATATATATGCTCAAATTTGCTACACCCTCTATTTTATATTGTTCTAACTACTTCAAATTTTATTTTGAGACAAAATTGGTTAAAGTATTAATCACAATATGAAACACGACGAGTAGATTAAAAGAAATCAGATTTGTTTGTTCAATGAAGATTTATTTATATATATATATATATATATATATATATATATATATATATATATATATATATATATTTGACAAAGGTATGCAAAAGGATGAAGATTTTTAATTTTCTTCCTAAAAGGAAATAATATACTTGGTAAATGATAGTAATTGTTAATACTAAAGCTGGGGGTGGGCACGGCACGAGCCCGAGTTCTTGGCATGAAGACACGCCCCGAAGGCATGACACTATTCACATTAATAATATGTTTTATTAATACATTTTTAATGAATAATTATAAATAGGTGAATAATTACATTAATAATATGTTTTAATTAATACATTTTTAAGTGAAATGAGTATAAAAAATGAAATAAGTATATAAAAAATTAAATTATTAATAACATGTTTTAATTAATACATTTTTTTGAAAAAAATTACGGGTGGCACGGCGGGCAGGCTTAGTACGGCACGATCGGCACGTGGGCCGTGGTTTCTAATGAGGCGGCACGACCCGCCTTTGACATGGGCCGGCCCAGCACGACACGACACTATTCACAGCACGGCCAGGCACGGCCCATGACGGTCTAGCACGGCACGACGCCCACCTTTAATTGTTATAGGCCCCTCTTAACTAGAAGTCTTAGATAATGGTTGAAATCAAGGATTGATTTATATATGCTCTATCATGTAAATATTCATGCACTACAGACCTCTCATTTCGATCATTAGCACGGTAACCTATAAGATTGATCAGATTTGGATGATTAAGGATGTTGATCATTATCACTTGTGCATGGAATTCTTGTTGACTAACTTTTATTTAAAACCGTTTTACATTAATTTAGTGTAAAACGGATTACACTCATCTCCATACTCCACTCCACTCTCTTGCCAATCACACCGCAAAACATCCGTTTTACACTAATCTTAGTGTAAAACCGTTTTACACAAAAAATAAAAATTTAAGTTAATGTAAAACGGAGGTACGGCGGTTGATAAATAATGACATTAAATGACCCTTTTAAGAACAAAAGTGACCCTTTTTCAATTCTAAATGATTCTTTTATTCTTTTTAAACACAAAGTGACACTTTATAATAATTATGTAAACAGTTTATACATTAAACAGAAAAATATACCCTTTTTTGCATCGAAGTAACTCTTTTTGACATCAAAGTAACCCATTTCAGGATCAAAGTGACCATTTTCAGATAACAAGTGACACTTTATACAAAACGAAGAGATATCTCAAAGTTGGTCATTTTATTACTAAACGTATTTACGTAAGTAATACTAGTATAGTTGCACTTGTATGGCATATTTCGTATAATATAAGTTCATATCGTACAAAACTAGATGTGAAATAGTACATATTGTATTGGGTTGATAAAATTTATATGGTATGACAATATATTAGTTTTGATGTGATAAATGTCAGTGCTGGGTCCTCCCGCAACTTACCTCTCATATGCAGGCCTAGGGGTGGGCTAGTATGGGCTGGTGCGGGCTTCCGGATCTAAGCCTTTTGCAGAAATGTCAGGATTAAATGATTAATAATGTAGTATCTAACTTTTGAACCATTAGATAGTTTGAACGAAATTAGTGCTTATTGAATTTTGAGTATGGAAAATGGATTGAGAACTGATATTTTGGATAGGGAAAAGGAACGAAAAGGCCAACCAAGAAAATAAAAGCCAAAAGAGTAAAACTAATATTTTGCTAAGGGTAAATTCGTCAAAACACTGACGCTATCCTACAATTCATACTTCTGGCTAGAGGTGACCACTGTGCAGGCTAGGTGGGCTAGGTCAGTGGGTCATGGGTTGGGGAACATAGACACTAGATTAAATCGTTTAAAAGTAGGGTAGGTCGTGTCATGGGTTGGGTCGGAGAAACTGGATACACCAGAGTTATGTTCATGGGCTTGGGTCGCAGGTGGGTCAAATTTGGTTCATGGGTGAAATGGGTTGAGAACTCGAGGGTGGGTCAAGCTGGATTCATGAGTTAGGTGGGTCGTGGCTTAGTGGGTTGGGTATATCAGATGGGTTATTGGGTTGTGTGGGTCAAACCAGAAAAAATCAACTACTGTATTCAAGTTTATTTTCTAAAATAGTTTTAAATTTTTAATTAGTTTTTTATTTATATTTAAACTATAGATAATTAGGCCATGTTCTGTTCACCTTATTTTTACTTATTTCAGGTCTAATAAGTTTAGATAAGTTCAAATAAGTTCTAATAAATTCAGATAAGTTCTGATCAGGACTACCCCAGTTTAATTTATAACTAAAATAAATTCTAATAAGTTCAAATAAGTTCTAATAAGTTCTTATAAGATCAGATAAGTTAAAACCTGGTGAATAGAATATACCCTTAATTGAAAAAGTGATTTGGTAAGTTTATTGGTGGGCTGGATGGTTAGAGGGTTGTGTTTCAGTTTGTTTTAAGTACGTCCCGCCGGAGAGTAGTCCAAAGACTTGCTGCTTCGCTTGCACCTGAAATGGAATAAACACACGACAAGGTCGGGTTCACCTCCGACGCTCAAGTCAGTAGGCGGACAAGGAATGTGAGTAAACTAAGCTAGAAGGACAAAAGCTAGAAGGCAAAAGGTAGAGTTGATTAGTGCGTTTGAGATTAGGAGAGTAATATTCTCGAGAAATGTGTAATTTCCTAGAGAATTATGAATGTAATTGTCCTTTTCTCCCCATTATGAGGGGTATTTAAAGTGTGGGGGTTTTAGTCCTCTTTTCCTAGGGTTTCCGTAGAATTAAACTGTATCCCCTTTTTAGGACAGATGATTTTTCCTATTTCTGAGGGAAAACAGATGAATAGACCTATGCTCTTCCCGAAACGCGTGCGCACCACGGGCCACCGTTGGTCATCCAAGTGGACCAATGGGAGGGCGACACGTGTCGCGTCTTGATTGGGCCACGTGGCTTTACTTGGAGGCGCCACGTGGCGCTTGTTGATTGGGCCACGTGGACCTGTGAGAAGGCTACACGTGGTGAGGTAATTTTTACCCTAATCATTTTCCCCTCGTCGGCGTGCACGTGAGTAGCACATTGGACGCCGACGAAATTATTAGGACAACCAGAGGGTCTTGTAGGTTTTCATACTTACCGTTTTGGATCTTCTGAACTGAGGATGGTGAAACGGGGAGTCACCTTTTTAGAGTTTTACCCCTCTATAAATAGAGAGGTCACTTGGAGCTCATTTTTTACTTCACACCCAAATCTTCAAAGCTTTTAGAGAGAACTTCAGAGAGATTTTCGCGCCGTCCAAGTTACAACAGGACCGTCCAACTTTCCATTCGTTCAGCCATCAACATACAAGGTACCGTCTCTCTCTCTCTATTTGCCGTCTGATTTTAACCCTTGCTTTTTATTTGAAAAATGTCTTTATCCTCCAATAACCATGACCTGGACACTGGCATATCCGGCTCTTGGAATGAAACCGGACGGTCACCCGACACGGCTGAGTCTGGGACTTATGGGACTGATTCTGCTTTTAATGGCCGCCCTTGTTTTGCACCTTGTTTGCTTTGGGATCCAACCCCTTCTGTTCTGTCTTCTCAGGATACAATGGCGAGGATTAAGCAAACCTCCCGGACCTCTTCTGGGACCAGGACTGCAATAAGCGTGCCGACTGCTGATGTAGAGTCGGTTTATCCTCCGGGCAGGGGCAAAGCTGAAGGAATTGTGTCCTCACCAATCAGTGCAATTACTAGATATATCAATGGATCGTATTATGGAGATAATAGTTCGTTCTTTAGGGTCGTCACTTGAAGTTGCTAGACCTGATAAGTGAACTTTGGGCCGGTAAAACGGACCAAAGCCCAACTGAACGGATCCTATTAGGTCACACTATGTGGTATTGGAACAAACAAAAGAAGAAGCCCAATTGTTGGGCTTCCTCACTAGATGGCCGGCGAAAGGAAGGAGAAATAAGGGTTTGGGCTTTTGCCCATTACTCATCTATATATATGTGATATATTAGATGAGTTGCCTAGGGTTTTACACTTTACTGTATAATTCACAAAGGCTCTCATTCTTTCTCTCTTCCTCTCACTCACGCCCTCCCCTCTCCTCTCCTTGCCGCGAGTCTTGGTGGTTGGTGTGGTGTTTTTCGGTCGTCTTCTTTCCTCCATAAAGGTGATTCAAAGGTGTTTGGGTCCGACTATCTAGCAGTAGTGGAGGGTTGATCCTTGAACGTGGACCGAGTAGAGGGACAACATTTGAGGTCCTTTATCTCCTTCCTGTAGCCGATAGCGAGAGGATTTCACGCTTTAAAGGTATATATTTTATGTGTTTCTCTTGTATGTTAGTAGAGATCCTGTTTAGGTACTTATTGATGTGATCAATATTATTCCGCTGCGCGTACCTAAAACCCTACAGTGGTATCATTTAGCCTACTACTACGTACATTAGATCATAAAATAATACGATTATTTGAAATCTACGTAAAGTTTTAAATCAATTAGGAGGGAGTATATAATTTGATTATGGTCAATCATAATTTAAATGGTGATTTAAGGTTTTGGAATTTGATTAAATATGATTTAATAATTGCTCAATTTTATGCCTAAAGTTTTCGAATTATGCCCTAATTGTTCGAAATTTTCGAACTATATAACCCTAATTTTCGAAATTTTGATCATGAATTTGCATGGAAATCTGATTTTATGTATAGTTTATGATGATTTTGAATGGATTATACAATAATTGGATTGAAAGATTATGTAAAAAGTTTATGTATGATCAATGATTTAATTTTAAAGGTTAAAATTAAATTAGAATTATTGTATGATGAACCCTAATTTTAAAGTTGAATGTGATTTAATTTTAAAATTGATAAATTGGATATAATTGTTGTATTTAATTTATTAAGACAACTGAAATTTATTTTATAATTGTTGTAAAATAAATTAACTAAAAAAAAAGGGCAAAACATGCGGTTTTTGAGTAGTGGCAGCCGTGGCTGGGTGGCTGTACAGCAGCCACGGCGGCTGCACAGCAGCCACGGCGGCTGCCACTGGTGGTCGGAGAGGGGCAGTAGGGTGGCGGGGCTGCAGGGAGGCGAACTGGCGGCAGTTGCAGGCTGCTGAACAGCCCACAGTGGCTGCCCACAGTTGCAGGATTAAATGATTAATAATGTAGTATCTAACTTTTGAACCATTAGATAGTTTGAACCAAATTAGTGCTTATTGAATTTTGAGTATGGAAAATGGATTGAGAACTGATATTTTGGATAGGGAAAAGGAACAAAAAGGCCAACCAAGAAAAATAAAAGCCAAAAGAGTAAATCTAATATTTTGCTAAGGGTAAATTCGTCAAAACACTATCCTACAATTCATACTTTTGGCAAGAGGTGGTCACTATGCAGCCAAGGTGGGCTAGCCCAGTGGGTCATGGGCCGGGGAACATAGACACTAGATCAAATCGTTTAAAAGTAGGGTAGGCGGAGTCATGGGTTGGGTCGGAGAAATTGGATACACCAGAGTTATGTTCATGGGCTTGGGTCGCGGGTGGGTCAAATTGGGTTCATGGGTGAAATGGGTTGAGAAGCCGGGGAACATAGACACTAGATCAAATCGTTTAAAAGTAGGGTAGGCGGAGTCATGGGTTGGGTCGGAGAAACTGGATACACCAGAGTTATGTTCATGGGCTTGGGTCGCGGGTGGGTCAAATTGGGTTCATGGGTGAAATGGGTTGAGAACTCGAGGGTGGTTAAAGCTGGATTCATGGGTTAGGTGGATCGTGGCTTAGTGGGTTGGGTATATCAGATGGGTTATTGGGTTGTGTGGGTCAAACGGAAAAAAATCAACTACTGTATTCAAGTTTATTTTCTAAAATAGTTTTAAATTTTTAATTAGTTTTTTTATTTATATTTAAACTATAGATAATTAGGCCATGTTCTGTTCACATTATTTTCACTTATTTCAGGTCAATAAGTTTAGACAAGTTCAAATAAGTTCTAATAAATTGAGATAAGTTCTAATCAAGACTAACCAAGTTTAATTTATAACTAAAATAAATTCTAATAAGTTCTAATAAGTTCAAATAACTTCTAATAAGTTCAAATAAAATCAGATAAGTTAAAACCTGGTAAATAGAAAAGACCCTTAATTTAAAAAGTGATTTGGTAAGTTTATTGGTGGGCTAGATTGGGTTAGAGGGTTGGGTTGAAAAGTTGGTTTGGTCATGTGTGTTGGGTCGATATGGGTGGGTCACGTCAGACGAGTCCAGATGGGTTGCACGAGTTGGGTCAAAATGGGCTAGACGACATGGGCTAAGCACAATTTGTTGGACGGCAACATGCCCAACTTTTTAAGCGGGTTGTGTCGAGTTGTGTTGGGTCGGATCTTGGTCAGACCCATATAGCCTACGAGCTTAGTTGGGTCGGATTGGCTGGGTCCAACCCAGCCAACCCAACCCATTAGACACTATAATATACTCCACTTAACCCAACCCATTGGACACTGTATATTATTATATCCACGCAACTAACTCAGCAATTCACACAATATAAACCCTAAGGAAAAAAAATCCCCAAATTTCCCTCAAAATTAAAAAATAAATTCTCCAGCGTGTTCTCTGATTCTCCTCGCTGCTTCTCCATTGAAGCTCTCTGTTTCTTGTTTCTTGTTTCTGGTGAGTTTTCGATCTATTTTTTTTTAATTATTTGAATCATCTTATACGAATGATCTATTGTTATGGACTTCTGCTGTTATTCTTCCTTGTTGTTCTCAAAGTATGAATCTCTCTTTCCCATTTTCGATATTTCCTTAGTTCATTCCAAAATAATTGCATCAATTTTAAGAGCCATAATTTAGCGTAAAACTGAAATTGCAAAGAAAATCATGGGGAGAAAACTGAAATCGTAACCACTTTGTAAGAAATCTGCTCTTTTTCAAGGGTAATCAATTTGCTAGTGAAAATGTTAGAAATATGTATCGGAAAATATATTTATAGTATTGATATTAATTGTATTAGGAGAATAATATACTTAGGTTTATTTACGTTAAGATATTATTTAGTTTATACTAAAATATCTGGTAATATATCTTTTAGGAAGATTGTTTCTATCTTATATTAACTTAGGTTTGTGTATAAATACTGAGTCTATCTATCAATAATATTCAAGCCATCATAAAGGTCATATTAAATTTGTCATGGTATAAAGAGTGTATAAAGAGTGGGTTAGATTTGGGAGAGTTTACAAAAAATTTCCACCTGCGGGATGAAATCTTAGTCATACTTTTTTTTTTCCGTTGAAAATATGTTGAAGAATTGATGATGATGGTTATACGTGGCTTTTGTAGTCATGGTTGAGATTGAGTTTGGTTTGATGATGAGGTGAAAACGTCTTTGAAAAGACTCGTGATTGATAAAAAAAACGGCTCTCTTGTGTCGTGAGACAAAAAATTAATAAGGGTTCAGGAAAGTATAAATCGTTTAGGAGGTTGATGGGGGAGTGAGGTAGGTGAGCAGAATGAATTAATTTTGTTAATTAAAAATGAATTACAGAAAGAGGGGACTGAGATTTATACTTCAATTGCAGCCGAAGAAATAACCAATTGAATTGTAATTTCGTATAGTTTTCTACTCTTCAATAAAACAGTGCACAGTTTTATATTTAATTACTATCACTGCTAGCTAATTTGGAGCCAGTCAGGCTAATGAATACTTAATACTAAGAAAGCAGGGATTCTGGTGGGTTCATACACGAGTAACAATTGAGACATAATTTTAGGCTTATAAAAGGAGAGTTAGGATTCTTATCGGTTATGCTCATTTGATTTCACCTTTAAATATTGTTCGTTTCTTGCTTGTGCTTAGTCTTTCACTTCAAAAAAAAAATATTGATATACTACAAAGTTACAAAGTGCTGTTAAACAAATTGGCAAAGTGTTGCTGCACTGCTACCATATGCTCATATTGAATTTGCGATATACAAAGTTTAAGTAGCGTAGTATTTGATATTAGAAATAAAAGTATTAAATTTCATGTAAACTTTTTGGCTTTCTGACTTGTTTATCAGTTTTTCTCTCTATAGGCTAAGTTTCCAGTTTGTTTGATTATCCTACCGGGTGCTTGTGGATATGGGGATAGAAAAAGAGCAGAGTAGCGGAGCCCAAAGAGGTCAAGTAGAGGAAAAAAGGATATTAATGCTGGCACTGAACTCTGAAAGGGTGGATGATAGGCTAGAAGATGGAACCAAAAGGCTTTCCGTTGGACTTACAGATTTTCACTTGGTGGATCTCAAGCAGAATGAATTACGAGTATCTCGTTGTCGCTTTCCTTCACTAATCATGGTTGAGTTTACAGATGCCATGATGTCGTTGAACGATAAATTCCTCTACATAGTAGGAGGTGTGACACCTCCTACAGCACGATCACCTGAATTCCAGCAACTCCAACTTGCATCTCCCTTATCCAATCGTACACACTACTTTGGTGGTTCTAGTCTTGACATGTCTAATGAGGCTGCAGTGTGGTGCCCAGCTCCTGTCTTCATTGAGGGTCCCACTACTTCCAACTATGTTAGCTTTCTTGGCAAGATTTACAACTTTGGATCTGATCGCCTTGAGCCCGAGGTTCTTGACCCTGCTGCTGTCGGCCACTGTAATAAGCCAATCAGCCCTATCCCTATCCCTGAAAGCCTTGCTGGTTGTAGTGTGTCTGTTCCTGCAGTTCCAGACCCATCCAACAAACGCATTCTTATGCGCCTTTATGGTGGTCCCTTTTCATTGTCGTCCCTGTATGCTTTCACTCCAGATGATGGTGAGGATGGTATTGGGACGTGGGATTGTCTTGCCTCTGATTTTCAAGTTTGGGCTGACTCTTCCGTTGTTGTTAATGGTGTGATATACCTTCACAGCCGTAAATTCCCATCTCTTCTTTGTGCTTTTCATATAGACAAAAAAAAATGGTTGAAAGTCTGGTGGGATTCGTGCTTTAAGGACAAGGACAATAATAATCTTGATATGAATGGCGAAAGGATATACTTCGATGCAATGCTTCATTTAGGCAACAATATTTTGTGCTTTGCTGGTTGGACACCCGTATATCCTTCGCCTGCTGTATGTACTCTTGAAATTGTCTTTTTCAAGTTCGAAGTGTTAGTCACTGGTGAAACTGTAATCATCAAGGCCTGCGACTCCTACTCATATTACCTTCCAAAGACTAAAGATGTGCTTCGTTTCCTCTCTATTAGCAGGTACTCTTCTCCCATGTCCATCTAGTAACATGTTGCTAGCTTTTTGTGCACGCGATACTATAGAGAATTTTTAAATACAAAAATAAGGTTTGTTTAAAAAATTTTATTAATACGTCGAACAACGTTAGTTTTACAGTAAAAATGAAAAATTAATAAGTTCACACATAATTTTAAAAAACTTTCAAATAAATAGTTTCTTTTTTTTTTTTTTTTATATTTTCACTTAACCTAGTTTTCCCCTTTCGCTTATAGTAAGTATAATGCGAATGGAGTAAATGATTTATTTCTCTAAAAGAATTATTATTTATAAATAAATTTTGGGTGTTAAAGGAAATTAAATAATTAAACTTTTCAATTAATTGTACTTGCCATTTTTTAAACATGATTACTTATTTTAAGTAGGGATGTAAATGATTTCATAAATCAAATGTCATTATGGAAGATTTTTAGTACATAGTTTATAAAATTACCCCCATTTGATTTACAATGATGAAGATTTAGTAAGGGTAGTGTGTTATTTTCAAGTGGACACCATACCTCACCCCTTAACTTATGTAATAGAGATTATTCTGTTACTTAACATCAAACTGTGTTATTTTCAAGTGGACACCATACCTCACTCCTTAACTTTTATAATAAAGATTATTTTGTTACTTCACATCAAGGTTATGTATTGCCTGTTCTGATATGGAATTTATTTACGAAGCTACAGTTGTTCGTTAACTTAGTCAAAGGAGGCATTGATAGTTTATATCCCAAAATATTGCAGGGGAGATTAGTTTTCGAGTCTTGTTTCATTTTGTTATTTGGTATCCCTATGAAGGTGTAGTATTTTCATATATGATTGTGAAGGTCATGATGTTGTTCGGTTGTTTTCAGCTGTGCTATTGTAGTCGTGTAGTACTATGTTCAAATCTTACATTCAGTGTGCTTCATAGTATAGAACCTGTATGTGGTTGTTATATGTTGCGTTGTTCAATTAGAAAAGGGCTAAATGCGACCTAACAATTATTTAGGACTTATTTGTAGTGTTTGTTCGTATGTGTTAATGCATAAGATGCTTATTCTGTGATGGACTCAACCACCAGGGTTCTTCCCACAACAACTAGGACTCACAGAAAACGGTAATGACAATAATAAGAAGAAACAGAAATAAATGAGGGAGTAAGATTAGAGCTTAAATTGAAATAAACAAGGGCATACACACAAAGTAGTCAGAATCAAGTGTGTTTAGCATAAAACTTTACCTTTTCTAAACAAGTGTGGGAGCATACCAGTATTATTTTTATACTACTCTTGATGATCAAGGCATCACTGTAGTTATTGATTAAGTTCATAGTATATCTCATGCTATGCTATGGTGGGGGAAGCGGATTCTTGTTCCGGGGGCGCAATTTAAGATCATTCACTTATGGTTTGCCAAGAGGCGATGCATGTGTTTTTCAGTGTTTGTAAGTTTGTAACTAATTATTTTTAAATGTGGGTACATTTTGACTTGACTAGTGGTGGAAGAGGATTGACTTGGTGTTTACTTCCAAGGTAAAACCTGATATAATAGGTGCTTATATTCTTTGAAGCCTGGGTTCGATGTTACATTTTAGATGAGCATTTAATATGCAGTTTGTCATGGGAATGTTTTTCCAGTTACCTAGGAAGATGATAAAGTAGGATTTTCCCTGATGATCTATCATCTTCCGTTCCTCACTTTAAATCTATAATGACACCCTATTATTTTTTGTCTCTTTGTTGTTTACTAGGTTGCCATGAGTTTGGCAATTGTTTGAATATAAGATCTTAGATTTGGATTGCTAAAATTAGTTTATACCTGTCGAGTAACTTTTGTAATTTACAATCCAAGTCTCTCACTTAGTGATTTTTTACTTGTCACAGGGTCGGGTAGGCTAGCGTGGTGCTGGTGCTGGTCGCGAGGAAGGGGAAGAGTATGCTGCTGGTCCTGAGGAAGATTAGTTGCTCCTATCTATTGCTTGTAAATCATCATCCAATTTTAAATTTTGGATGTTTTGCCTTTTAGTCTTTGAATGATGACTGTTATCTCTATTAGTCGTGCTTGGTTTATCAGTTCAAGTAAATTATACAGTATGACAATGATAAACTTAGTTGTTATGACTTATGGGTAATAATGAACTGTTTTTAACCCGGGCATCGCCTCGGTCATTTTTTTATTATAATAAATGTATTATCTATTTTTACGAATATTATTGAGCATTATCAAAATTCTTTCATAAAGTTTCATATGAGACTGATTATAGTATGCAATTAAAGTTACTTCATTAGTGTTATAGGGTTCCTCAATTACTTTGATTTTTTAAGTTGTCACACGGTATGGCCGGCTGCACACAGAGCACACCGAAATTCTTTATTCAATACTCCTTATGCAATGACTTAATTTTTGCATAAGTTTAAATTATTTGTCAAAAGGATATATTTTAATTTTCAATTGTCATATAAAAATCCTTGATAAAATAGACTTACTCCCTCCATTTTGAATTATTTATTATGGTAAAAGTAATGTGTAAATCATGAATATGATAGTTTGTGAGAGAGAGTGGTGGGGATTATGAGAGAGAAAAATTATAAATTAATATGAGTGGGGTTTAAAGTAATAGAGCGAAAATACTCCGTATGAAATAATAGAAAAAATTACCAATTAAAAAAAAAGTTACCTAATTAAATTAATATGATGGTAAGGATGTGTATTGCGTGTCTAATACGGGTACGATGATAATTAGGAGAACCCTATTGCTTGACTTTATTTTTCTAAGGTAATTGCTTGACTTTCCTAATTAATGTACGTAGTACTTGGGGGTGGTGTTTTCCTGTAACAAAAAAAATATTCCAAAATTGATTCATTCTCAGTAAAGACTTCCTGTAAAAAACATCGTGAAATTTTAAAAGCCTAACTTCTCACTTCTGGTGAAACCCTAACTTTCACTTAGTTGCTACGAGTGCCTGGCTCAGCCACCGACCTCCGGCCTCTTGCGTCGCCCCATTATGTTTTTATCGTGTAATTCCCTATGTTTTCCATGTTCAATGTTCAATTAATTTTTCTTTTATTTGGTTAAAACGAGAGCAGAAACTAGATTACATAGTGTTTTCAAAAGTAGGTGGGACATCACCACCATCACTACATAGTGTAGTATATATGAAGTATAAAGGAAGATTAGGTTTACAAATATATGAAGGGGCAATTTAAAACAAATTACTACTTAGCACATTTCCCTAGAAAAAAATATTTTTAATTGCTGTTTTAAAGGTAAGGAGATAGAAAGTGAGGAGACTTAATAAAAATTGGGCAGCCACCACCAACACTAACACAACACCACCAGGACCACAAAGAACACTAACAAAACCACCCCTACAAGACCACCACCAACACCTACCCAACCACCTGACACAACTAACACCAACCCCAGCACCACTAACACCAACCCAAACACCACCACCAAGACTGCGGAGTAGTCTGTCCCGTGTTGCATCCTTAAGCTCTTGTGAAGTACACCGCAAGTGAGTTGCGGTATGGATGTGTAAACCGCGAGCAAGCTGCGGAGTGAACAGTCCTCTATTGCTTGTTGCTCTTTTTATGAAGTAAGTCACAAATGAGCTGCGATAAAAATCTCTAAGTTTCCTCGTCGATCCTGAAATACATCAAAAACAACGAAGCTACCATGGAAGGCATGAAGTCATCAAGACTAAACCAAATCAACACGAATAAATCAAAAACTCCTAAACTAGACTCAAAAAAGGGAACCAAAAATACTCTAAAAATATGTACCAAACACGACTTATCACTCCTACTCATATTACCTTCCGAAGACTAAAGATGTGCTTCGTTTCCTCTCTATTTAGCAGGTACTCTTCTCCCATGTCCATCTAGTAACATGTTGCTAGCCGTTTGTGCACGCGATGTTATAGAGAATTTTTAAATACAAAAATAAGGTTTGTTGTTTAAAAAATGTTATTAATACATCGAACAACGTTAGTTTTACAGTAAGAATGAAATATTAATCAGTTCACACATAATTTTAAAAAACTTTTAAATAAATAGTTTCTTTTTTTAATATTTTCACTTAACCTAGTTTTCCCCTTTCGCTTATAGTAAGTATAATGCGAATGGAGTAAATGATTTATTTCTCTAAAAGAATTATTATTTATAAATAAATTTTGGGTGTTAAAAGGAAATTAAACTTTTCAATTAATTTTTTACTTGTCACAGGGTCGGGTAGGCTATCATCTTCAATTCCTCACTTTGAATCTACATGGACATCCTATTGTTTGGGGTCCAATTAAGCTTAATTGGGCCTAGCCCATAAAATTGTCCTCCTCTAGGCAAATGGAACAAACCAAGCCTCCCATGCTTCCAAAGTCAGAACTGTTGCTCCAAGCCTACTTGAGGTTCGGCCCACCAGGCTCAAGTGGCCCATTTCCCCCAAGGAAATCAGGTATAAAAGGTTGCAAATCCCCTTTTGTAACCGGCATCCACTCATATCATAAAACACATCTCATCTCACTAGCATTCACACACAATTCGCCTCACGCATAACTTCTTGCATACAATACTTTCTCTACCACCGGAGAATTCATACTGACTTAGGCATCGGAGGGGCGTTCCTCGGCTAACCCCCCGAGGCCAGTTTACGTGTGCTTGTGTGCAGGAAATCATAGCTCTGGACCCTCGGATCAAGCAAGGTCGCCTCCCACAGTTTCTTCAGTGAGCTCCTGCAGCTTACATTGTTTCAACCCGAAACAATTTGGCGCCGTCTGTGGGGAAGTTGCTAGACAAAAAGCTCATTCCGCCAAAAGTTCCATCATGCCTCCTAGAAAAACCACGAGCCGTACCTCCCGTCAGCCGGAGATGGTAGATCTTCATGATGAAGTTCGGCCGAGGGAGGAGGGCTCACCCCTCCGGAAGTCTGTCTCGGTTGAACATACAGAAAGACCTCCACCGAATCACCTCGGTAGAGGCAAAGGTGTGGCAGCTGTAGTCGTCGAGTCGGTTGAAGAATCCTCGTCCGACGACCAAAGCTATGCCGAGCAGTCCGATAGATCCAAAAGGGTTCAAGCGGAGGCAAGCAAGCCTCCCACTCCAACACAAAATCCTCCCACAGAGGAAATGTTCAAGATGATGGCTGCTTTCTTCGAGTTTTACAACAGAAGCAAAGCCGGAACGCCAACCCCCGAGCACAAAGATGCTTCGGTGTCGATACGGGAGAAGGAGCCTGGCTCTACTCCTTGTAAGCACTCGAAACGTCCCCATAGGGGAGAAGATGAGAACAGGACTCTTCCGTCCCTCGGGCTCACCGGGATGGAAGAGGAAAGAACCTGGAAAACCCAGGAAGTAAAGCAGCAACATGCTAGTTGGTTCGATACTTCGGCCAATTCAGCAGGCGCAACGACGCGTCCTCATGTCAGCACCCGCTTGGGTCCTCAATTCTCAGAGGCCCAAAGCGCCCGACGGCCCAGCGTGCACAGCAGACTGACATTCCCGTCGCAACGCTCAGAACGGACTGCCACCTCCCGACCAATAGCTGAACCTTCCTCCACTCACAAAGGATTCGAAGTCAGCCGAGGGGTGACCGCCGGTCAAAAGGGCAAAGGGATAACTGTCATGTTACCATCTAGGTCTCCCTTTGCTAGATGGATACTAGAAGCCCCAATGCCGAAGGTGAAGATCCCATCGCACATCACGTACGATGGAACTACAGATCCTCAAGAGCATGTCTCGGCATATGAGGGGCACATGTCTCTTGCTCAGCTGAGCGAGGCAACCTGGTGCCGATACTTTCAGACCACCCTAAAAGGTGTAGCACAATCTTGGCTCACCAAAGGAGTGGCTGAGGGAAGCATACAAGGCTGGACCGACCTGGTTCAGAAATTCAAAGGCAAGTTTGCTACGGCAAACCGCCGAGAGAAGACAACTGCCGAGCTGATGAGCATCGCTCAGCAGGCAGGTGAGAGCCTGCGGGACTACTTGACTAGGTTCAGCAATGAATCCTCAACCATTGCGAACCTAGACCAATCACTGTCCGTGTTTGCACTACAAAACGGGCTGAAGGGGGGACCATTCCTAGATCACCTAGTGATGTACCCTCCAATGACGCTGGAAGCAGCACTCCATGCCTCGGATAAGTTCATCCGAGCCGAGGAATGGAAAAAGGCCAAGAATCCTCCTTCGGCAGGCGAAAAGGGCAAGGCCTCACAATCAGGAAAAGCTCAGCCGAAGACAGAGCTTCCTTCGGCCGAAGCAAAAAAGCCCTCATTCGCTGGCAAATACGGGGAGTACACCCCCCTCAATAAGCCCCGCGCGGAGATATATCAGCTCACAAAGGGCAAAGAAAAATATCCAACGCCCAGACCCCTTCCGAGGAGGCACACCGAGAAATCAAAAAATCTGTGGTGTGAGTATCATGAATCCACTGGTCATGATACAGAAAAATGTATCCAGCTGAAGGACCAGATAGAGGATATGGTTCGGAGAGGATACCTGAAAGAATATCTCGCTGACCACCGCGAGAAAAAGAAAGAGCTGATCGATTCAAGGCAGAATCTGAACTACAACCGCAAGAGGGACAGATCTCCCGATCAGAACAGTCAGGACAAGCCTGACATATATTAGGCGGTGCAGTCCTAGCAAATCGCTGGAACGCCGAAGCACTTAAGAAACATTTTGTACAAGAAACATAATCCATGTAAGTGCTACCTTATTTATAAAAAGGCCACCGAGCCATTGTTGTTACAATTATCTGTGTTAACATTATGCTATTTCTTAAGTGTTCTTTATTTTATTTTATCACCAATTATCATCAGTTATCCTCACGAAATGGTGGTGAAATTATAAACGTTGCCCATCCTCACGATGGTGACGATAAAGAATTTTGTTAATCATCTTCACGATGGTACAAAAATAGTTTCTAAAGTTCATCCGAGCAGTCTAGGGTTCGTCTAAATCAAAATTCAGCCGAGCCGAAGGAGATTCATTTGAACCGAACCAAACATCCTCACGATGTTTATAGAAAGTTGTATAAAATGTGTCGACGCAAACGTACAAGCTCACCTTGTATGGTTGTTGTTGAAGCTTTCACGGAACCAAGCAGCTGAAAAATTTCCTTCAGCTTGCCGAGGTTCCGTTCAAGCCGAGATAAAATATCAACCGAAGCTCCTTGCTGAGGTCTATGTTTTCTAAAACGGCTTAGGCGAA